TCGGCACAGCCTGTAGCACACGGGCCTCAGTTTAATTTCCCATCCTAACGACTAGACGCTTTTTGCACATCAGCCAGGGAGAAACTGGGTTGAAAAATCTAAAGGTATTACTTCGACCTATGATGGGATTGAACCCTGGACCTCCAGATTACCAAGCAAGGGTCTAACACACTGACACTCAACTGAAATCTTTGATAAGTTCACAAGCTAATAGACGGCAATATACGTCCATGGACATAAAAATGTAGACATATAAACAGGTTTATTAAGAACAAAGAATTCTTTGGTTATAACTCAACTTTTGAACATATGTCATTTCATATGAAAGGGATCTGATCCAGTTCATAAAATTCAATTTCTACCATTAATCACACTATATAGACTAAAAGAGGTCATATTTTAAGTAATGAGTGTTAAAAATACCCATTGTAAAACAAGCCTAGAATATTAGAGTGAATTTCAATGTCAAAAATAAAGTACCTTATCCCTTTAATGGCCTTTGCTTTAATGTTGAAATGTGTTTTCAGATTTGAACTTTACACCTAATAGCTTCCTGGTAGTAGATTAATGTCTTCAGAGTCTTAGAGAAATCCTGCTAATTTGCAGAACTAGTGATGATATGAGTTATATCTTGATTCTTAACAAGGTCTTCAACTTGTCATTCAAACACTATTTCTTACAAGATAATTTAAAGGGACGGGTATGCTACTTGTCTCAGAAACAGGAATTTTTCAGCTCATCTGTTCTTGAGTCTCTGTCATATAAATAAAAGACATACATAGAAATAGAAAGTGAAATTCCTTGTTAGAATTGATTGAATGTGGGGTATATTTTTGTCGATGTGTAAACAACGTTACTTTATTTCATTGAGTGATATCAGTATTCTGATCTATCTTTCGATTGGTTAATAAGTCTGATTCAGTACACCGACTGGTTAAAAGAATGATGACCTTTAATAAACAGTGGTCTTCGCTGAACTATCATTTCATTGGTCAATATCCCTAATGCTGCCCATCTATTGGCCAAGTATCTCACGCGTTGCTATCTACTTGAGTTGTATACCTAAGATAAGCAACACAGTTTGGATTCGTTCGTTTAAGTCTGTCATAGTTTGTTCACCCACCAGCCCACATCCTTTATTGAAGGCCATGGTTTAAATATGTCCTTTGTATTTGTGTCCCTGTTTATCTCTTATGTAAGTTTCATTTTCCTTCAAGGATGACACATCATATGAAGTTGTTACGACATGGCCTCTTTTTTGTGCCAAAAACGTCAAAATAGTTTCATAAATTGTAATTTTTTCTTACATATTGTAAATGTACGTTAATATTATTTATATAATTTACAGCTTTGTTTATAAAATTGCCATTTGTTCTGTTGTATTAAATGTTAAATAACTCATACTTAATCTGCCACAAACAATAAAATCCAAATAGAAGTTTATCGTGTTTGTCTGTTATCCCCAATCTGATAATTAGAATCAATTTCAGCAGTTAGAATAATTTCTAGAGTTTAAATTCCACATGAAAACAGAAGAAGAAACTAATCACTTGATGAATATTTCTCCTTTCCATTTTAACAAATCAGGATGCAGATATCAACTTTTTCTGTATTGAAATTGCATGGCTATCTTCCTTAAGAGAATCCTTATAATTGTTAAAGATAGACCACAATGCTGTCTAGTCTATGACATTGTTTGTCTATTATAAATAACAAAGCTTTCATGTCTCCCAAGTTCTGAAGTTCTTGAATAATTATAAGGAAAAATTTCAACCATTGAAACAATGGATTCTATCTATTGTATTTTAAACTCCATAATACTAATTGACATGCGCTGGATGAAAACTCCATCACAAGTACAACTTGACATTTGATCATATAAAACTCTGACAAAAGAATTCAAAATATCAGATGTATCAAATAAAAACTGATAATGTCTTTGATATCAAAATCTATTGATACATTGGCAGTTATCATTCTCTCAGTTTCCTTATAGAATATCCTGAAAATATCATAATAACAGTTTGAAGAACACTAATGACCATGATCATATTCCTTTCATAAACTACAAACTTCCTGTTTTGAGTACATCATAAGAGTCTAAAAGGTTCAAGGAAGTTAAGATGAAAAATATTTTTGTCTCTAAGCTTGGAAGGATAAACTTTTAAAAAAGCAAATACCAGTATAATGTACACAGATCAGATTTAATATTATATATTTTTAAAACGTATATCTATAAAGACCTGGAAGCATTTTCTAACACCCTGTAATCTTAAAAGCATCATTATCAATCATCAACGCTCAAAATATAAGAAGAAAAGTAAGAAATGGTGTCATTTTTTATAGAATGAAAGCCTTAATGAGATATTAAAATCTGTTTGAACTTTTTATTTCCTAAACTTTCTGGTTTATAATATCTTTCTAAGAGACTAGATATGTTTTTTAAATCTAAACAGAAAGCACCATAAGCTATAATTACACCACAAAATATCACACAGAAATTCACAAGTCATTATCCATCCAAAAACTTTATCAAGAACTTCTGAGAGGTACACTAGTCTGATTCTAACTTCCTAGTTTCAAAATTCAAAAAATACTTTGAAGAAAATTATCAACAATAATCAACAGTTCTTTGTTGGTCTAGAGACAAAGAGATCATAGATATTTGTATCATTCATCATGGTAAGCAAACCTTCCTTGGATATTAAAATCTGTTCACAGCTTTATATCTTTGGAAAGTTAAAATCTATAGAGAATAATTACAGATCATGATATATAAAACTACAATACTTCTCTGTAATTATTCATAAGGTAAAAAACCTTTTCCAGTTGGCACAGAAAACCTTTTCACCTTAATGCCTTACATTCCGTAAAAATGTCTTCCAAGATCAAAGATCAAGAAAATACTATATACTTTATAATCTACAGAACATAATCCATAATCACGACCAAATATAGATTAAAAACTAAAACTGCATGTGACATTCATTATTCATTGAAAACAAGCCTGATTTAGCCTATATAAAAAAATATCAGCAAGTTTCTTAACTTCCTAGTTTAAGATCCTTAGAAATCAGTTCAAGAACACTCATCCATCATCAACAATCCTTCACTGATATCAACATTGTATTCCATGTCAGAATAAACCACCTACAGCACTATAGTATAAAAAGTAAAAGACCAGGAAAGAGTGGCAGAGTGCTTGAGGCTTATTAACAGGATAGTATAAGCTTTTATATATAATATATATATTATATATATATCTACTACAGACAATAGCATAATACTGTCACAAACAACCTTTATTATCTCTCATCTTCACAAGTTAAAGCGGTAATAATAGGAACAGTAATTGGTAGTAATATCTCACCATTAAAAATCACCACACATCAAAGATTAGTAACACAGTCAATAATTTCAGAAATAATTACAACATCTGTTGAGTACCGGTAGTTGTTTTACCAAATCTATATAATTTTCAAAATGCAGAGAAATGTTTTAGGTGTTTCACACCAAGTTTTAGAAAAAAATATATTAATTATATAAGAGCTTGGCAGTTTAAAATGTTTGAACTTATTAGGATATTGAATCAGATCCTTATTCAGTTTTGCCGTACATATACACTTCGAAATTATACAAACTTAAATATTTGAAAAAAGAGCAAAATCCCTGTTAATAAGTGTTATTGGGAGTCCAAACTGGTGACTATGTCCTATTGAATGTTAATTAACGTATTGTATATAGTGAAGCTTTAAGAGCTGATGAAAAGTGCAAAATTATAAATGGACTTATAGGTTCTTCTGTATACATCAATACCAACGGGGTATCTATCTTTAACTTGTTCTAATCTCTAATGAGTATCTTTAAAGTGTACTACAGTATATTTGAATATTGATTTTTATCTTGGTAGAGATTTTAATGGTATCAAGATTTATATATGGACCTACCAGGAAGATTCTTTTTAAAATCATAATAATGTAGACTTCTTCAAACAGAAATGTCAATATCTGGATACTTTAATGAATTTGATTGATCAGATATAGATTTATCTAGGGCAAGTTCATTCATTCAGAACACATTTAAACATCAAAACTTTGGAGAGTTCATCTAGCTCATAATGCATCCTTTTATCTAAATATTAAGTAGGCCTACTACAGAATAACCACATCACATTATATAGGTATTAATAAATAATTTACACATAAGCTTACAAGTTGTTGCTTAGCAAGATTATTAGATATGCCCACTTTCCTGATACATTTTCAGTATATCAAGGGCAGGCACTAATCTGTGTCAAATCAAACCAAAAATTTAATTTGTGCAGATATTGTTGACACAAAATTTAAAAAAATTCTCATATAAACTGTAAGCCTACTGAATGGAGTAGGTTCCTGCCCTGTCAAGGCTTGCTGTATGAGAAAAAAAGGTTATATAATGTAAAATGTAAGAAATCTTCCAAAATCTCTTTGAATTGGAGTTGACATTTAGATACATGAGAAAATAATTTCAGAATTATGATTCTGGAAACATTGTATTTGGACAGAATCATCCCCACCCCCATCAAATGATAAAAAATTCAAAAGCTGGATCTCATTTACAGGTAACAAAGACTCAATAATGAATAGCTAGCTGAGACATTCATTTATTTAAGAAGCATAACTCAAAACGAAACATCTAATGAAACTTTACGACGATGATTTATTTCAGAAACTCTATAATTACCGTTCATTTGGTGGACGACCAGACATTTTTCATCAAAATAAAGTCGCCATTTTGTTGATATGACGTCACAATGTAGGTCAGTGCCCGTTATCTTATTGGAAAGAAAAAGTAATTAAATACTTTTAGTAATTCATTTCATTTATTCAATCATTTATGACATATTTTTGAAGTGATGCAGTCTTTAGATTATTTTTATCATTGAATTTAGAATAATTTTCTGCATGGATGACCTAGATTTATTATAACTGCGCGCCGGTTTTGTTTACAAAATTGTGAAGATGGCCGACTTGTATGAACCTGACGTTGGAACTGCTTATTACCGTTCAAACGATCCATTAAAAAATTTAAGATTTCGGTAGGTATTGCGAAATGAGAACCGTTTGGCACAAAACGTATTTCTAACTATTGATATTTGACTGGGGATGCTAATATTCAATAGAATTAGAATTAGAACTTTCTTTTAAAGATATTACCGTGGTGTAACCTATTTTCGTGGATGTAAGGATTCAACACCGAATTTCGTCAAGGTTAAAAAAACGAAAAATTTTTTTATGTCTTAGATGTTTCCTCAGATATTCTACAAAATAATTAAAATTGGTTTATTTCGATTTTCTTTATGAATCCCTCACTTTGACCCATATTTCATGAGCAACCAACTCGGCAACGGCAGCAGAATCATCACCTATTTTTGTGTACAATGTTTGATCTATAAATAAGTCTAGAAAAACACGTTGTATGGATACCGGGTGGTATAATTAACTTCTCTTAGTATTTATCTTTAATATCAATTCATTATAACTAGTAACAATTTCTTCAAAGAACCACGATTTAAAAAAAAAATAGTGACTGACAAAATAAGATACGTAGCGTGATTTATTGCTAAAAGTCACTGAAACAACATAAGAATATGGTCCACTTTGTGTTCCATAGAAATTTTCTACTGACACGGAATCCGCTAGTTGATCACGTGACTTCATTCGTTGAAATATATTCTAGCAGACGACACTTGGAATTCCGATTACCGCTTGGGATTATAAGGAAATTCGGCCGATAAAAAATGGTGACGTTTGATAATAACTGAATTTATTTTGTATTTTGCCATTTTGTATTTGTCAAAGTATACATTAATACATTTTACCTTGCTTGAAACTACTGGATTCATTCTACTAGCTGACATTGTAGAGAAAACCCATGTTTATCAAAATAAACTAATGCGGAGGTCACTCAAGGTCGTTCATGTAAATTATTAATCCTTTCTGGAAATCCACGAATAATAGGTTTCCACGAAATTAGGTTACTCGACTGTAATTTATGGTGTTCCAGAATTCCAAACTTACCAACCTTACAAAAGCCAAATGGTCAACTCTAAACTTTGAATTGTTATCATTTGAGGACTAAACATGTGATCTGATATTAACAGGTTTTATATATAGTACCGTATCATCTTCACAATGTCAAGCTATTACCAACTGTGTCTAATTCCTTGACTGCAATTCTTTTATCACAGAAGTTTGTAAGTAAAGTGATTTGATTGGATTTAACAATAAAAGTCAATCAGACACTTCGAAAGAACTTCTGTCCAAAATTTACAATTGAGGGCTATGATTGGCTGTATTTGGTATTACATGCAGTATTGCCTATATACATGTATTTATACTTTTGTATAATATTTTGATTAAATATTGTTTACATCAAGATGCAGTTTGTTATAGCTTTACATTGTGAGGATTATACAGTTTATGTAAAACATTTGATAGTAACAAAATGTATATTTAAAAGGATCGGAACTGCAAGCTTTACGCTTTTAGTTTAAGTTATAGAAAAAAAATAGTTACGTCAATGTTGTGTATTTCAGAGTCACATTAAAACGTATAACATCAACTAGCATTGTACCTCAAGCTCAGAATAAATCTGAAGATGATGATGTGGAACTACAAAGTGTTGATCAAAAATCATCAGTTCAGTCTGATGAAGAACAAATGGTTATACTCTGGCAAGAAAAAGTGTTTGGACAGGTAAACCTTATTTATTTGATTTGTACAAAATTCCCAGTGGTACTTGGCAAAATTGTGCTTTGACAGTATCATTTACCCTTGTTACAGCAACACAGTATCTCTGTCACTAAATTTGTTAAAAGTGAGAATTTTTATCATGACTAATAAGATTCTTTAAGCAAAGTATTGCACATAGGTATTAACATCTGAAAAAACAGATTTGATATCTTACTTTTAACGACCTAATAGTTTTTCTTTTGTATTTCAGAGAGAAATAGATCTATATTCTAATGCAGATAATTGTTACAATGTGATGGATCAAAAATATTTTGAAGATGTCAGCAAATTATTGTAAGTTATACTTAATATATTTTCCTGCTGCCTTATTTATTAGATATGAATCTGTATACCTTCCTTTCAAAAAACAATGTTTGTCAGATGATGAAACAATCTCATTATGCCCCTTAAGTTGGTGAGGTCAGAAAACCATTTATTTAGGTATAAAAGGTATCAATACAGGACGAAAAGGGAAAACAATCAAAGCATATTTCTCCCAGCTTGCTGTTGTTTATTATCAAGATAGCCCGAGAATGATTTGATTAATTTGTGCCATGAGTCAAACTTGAACCTTAAAACTTACCTGTTTTATTCTAGAGAGAAAGGTCGACCTACAAACAGAATATTTTCTTATGTTGATCATGATTCATTCTCTAACCAAGATGAGGTATGATTGGTTGATTTCCTTTTTTTTTTACAAAACACTGTGTTATCACTTGTGACTTTTCTTCCTAGATCAGAAAAACAAACTTTGAATGCCGGAAGTCTAAAAATCAAAAAAGGAAAGGATCCATATTGCTTGTATGACATCAGCATATTTTCTTTTACCAGATTTTAAAATCCTGTTATGGAATACTTACATCTTTTTTTCAGACATTGAATTATATGACCAGTTCTGCAAAAGAAAAACCATCAAATTTAGCTAAAAATATGGCCCATATACGTAGAAGAAGAATAGGTGGTAGACAAGCTAAGGAAAGGTGAACATTTCCTTTAAATATTTCATGTATTCCAGTGGAATTAAGTTTTGATTGGTCATAAAACCTGGGGATATATCTCAAGAGTCATATTTATTAAAATACTAAATTGAATGGAATAGATATTGTTATTGCTATTTATTACTAATAAATGTTATTTCAGAGAGCTAGGTATAATACCTAAAACCAATATAGTAGTAGCAGACCCTTCAGATGAAAGAATAGCTAAGAATCATATTGATGCACCACCTATGCAAGTAATGTATATTATGGCTGATCTTAGTCCTAGAGAACAGTAAGTATTTATCTTTAAATATTTTTCTTGGTGCCATTTTGGTTGGTTTGGATACTTTGGTCTTGACACTGATGTAAAAGCAAGTGAATTTTCATGGTGGAACTCATGTTGACTCTGTTGTATTTATGAAATTGTTAAAATCATTGAAAAGACAAAAAATACTGATAACCAAAGTAACTATGTTGATATAATATTCTCATATTGTTCATGTAAAGGATTGCTATATTTGAATCAACAATTCAGATTACCATCATAACAACTATGGAAGAATAACAATTTTAAGTTTATTTTGTTTATTCACTATGTTTTAAATTGTAAATGTTGAATTGCAGGCCAGCAAGTGAAGAATCTGAAAATATTTTATGTTCACTACATGTGGATGCTCACGGTGTATTATCTATAAGGCCTGATTTTAATCGTGGTCGGAAAGCCTATATTATAGAAACTGGCACACTGGGAAAAGGTAAGATATATCAACAGCTTAAGACTATCACCTTACTGTCCCAGATCTGTGATGTAGGACTAATGAAAATATATCGACAATTGTCAAGTCTTTGCTAATAGAACCATATATCACCTGTGCCCATTATGATGTAAGTTTGTTTTGATATTACAGAGGTATTTGAATACACAATAGAACATGCTTCCAAACCAATGAATAGGTGAGTGTTTCTTTGACCAAAGCTCTTCTCATATGACCAACACATGTTTTGAATGAACAAAACCATCAAAGTTACATACACACTGCCATAACATCTATGAAATCAAACAGAACTTTAATAACAAATTTTGAATGTACATTAGATACTTCTATTACACTCAAATTGATTTCTCTTCATTGATATATATTAGGTTAGAACAAGAGAAAGAGATGAAGATGTATAGAGAAGTTTATACTAGACATAAAGAATTTCTACAGGCTTGTGTTGGTAGTGAATTTGAAATGGTAAGAATATTTTCATTTAATTCATTGTTTAAAAACGATATACTAAAGATCTTACATAGATTGTAGAAGTGAGAGTAACATCATAATGGGCATAATATGATATCAAATCTAAATATTTTATAATTTCAGCCTCCACCAGATGTGTTGAGACTATTAGTTTTTGGTGAATTAGGTATTTTTTTCTAATATTAATTTCTAATAATCATCAAGTTGAAAGTATCTTATTATAAATTTGTTTTCTTAATATTATCTTTCTAGTTAAAGGGTAAGCTTGATAGTTTATACTTATTTACATCAGATAAATTAGATATGTTTTGTTTTTCTTTCAGAAATGGCCAAAGATTTTGATAGTGATAATATCTATATTCAGTTTTTTATTGATTTACCTAAAGGTGAGATACTAAACATGTTTCTTGCATAGAATTTTGATTCACTAGTCTAGAAATTTCCAAATATTGATCATATTGTCAATAGTACAACAGTATCATATTGTTAACAGTACAGCAGTATCATATTGTTAATAGTATAACAGTATCATGTTGTTAACAGTACGTTAACAGTACAGCAGTATCATGTTGTTAATGGTACAACAGTATCATATTGTGAATAGTACAACAGTATCATGTTGCCAATAGTACAACAGTATCATATTGTTAACAGTACAGCAGTATCATGTTGTTAATGGTACAACAGTATCATGTTGTGAATAGTACAGCAGTATCATGTTGTTAATAGTACAACAGTATCATGTTGTTAATAGTTCAACAGTATCATATTGTTAACAGTACAGCAGTATCATGTTGTTAATGGTACAACAGTATCATATTGTGAATAGTACAACAGTATCATGTTGCCAATAGTACAACAGTATCATATTGTTAACAGTACAGCAGTATCATGTTGTTAATGGTACAACAGTATCATGTTGTTAATGGTACAGCAGTATCATGTTGTGAATAGTACAGCAGTATCATGTTGTTAATGGTACAGCAGTATCATGTTGTTAATGGTACAACAGTATCATATTGTGAATAGTACAACAGTATCATGTTGTCAATAGTACAACAGTATCATATTGTTAACAGTACAGCAGTATCATGTTGTTAATGGTACAACAGTATCATGTTGTTAATGGTACAGCAGTATCATGTTGTGAATAGTACAACAGTATCATGTTGTTAATGATACAGCAGTATCATATTGTGAATAGTACAGCAGTATCATGTTGTTAATGGTACAGCAGTATCATATTGTGAATAGTACAGCAGTAGATCTAATCTATGATATGAAACACTGACAAATTGTATCCTTGGTCTGTGCTTTGGTAATTTCAATTACGTATTGTTTTGACAATCACAATCAATTATAGATTGGTATGCAGAGAGTCCACAACAGTTATCATGGGTTACACAGACATGTCAGTTAAAAACAAAAGGACAAGTAAGTATCATTTATCTTATTTATTTTAAAATCTACAAGTCTCAGAAGATCTGAACTAGAGCAGTCTAATATTCTGTTTAGGAGGGGAATGAGCAGTTTTTGAAAAGTATAGCGAAACCAAACTTCTTGTACTAAATTTTTGTAATATATTTTTTTATGTTTAATTAAATACTTATTCCCTTAAGTTTACCATGACCTCGCACTGAACAAAACTGACAATTCCAAACATATTGTTTTGAGGATTTATATCCTACACACATTTATACATGTGAACTAAATATCGTACAATGTAAATATACTGGATTTTATTGTTATTTCAGAATAATATAGCTCATTTTGGTTTTCCGTTTCAAGTTGAATTATTTTATAAAAGAGAGATCATTACTGAAGAAAATAAAGGTTTGTTTTTAAAATAGAATGTTTAATTTTGGACCAGCCTAAGTTTCAGTACACAATTCCTGTAGACCTAGCTGGATATTTGTAATTTAAGTTTTGGAGAACTGATTGTAGAAGAAATTTTTTGTCTTCAAAAGTTAAATATTTGATATTAAATATTATATATTTAATATTTCAGATGTCATGCCTCACTTTCCTATTATTTATGTAGAAGTTCTCTCCCTTGATTCCTGGCAAAGATATCGTACTGAAGGTTATACATATTTCTCTTTACCAGGCAAACCAGGTGAGTATTTTTCATAGTAAGAATTTCTAAAAAGTTTGTAAAGGGAGTGGGGTGGGGATGTCATCTGGTCAGAGTTCCCTCCCTTAATTACTGGCAGAGATATTGAACTGAAGGTCATCAGGTGTTAAAAGTCTGAGCTCGTACTCCCTGATTCTTGACTTGAAAATTTTTTTAGGTACATCATATGAAACCCAGGATTGTTGGAGACCATTAAAAGATTCAGTTGTATCTAATTTACGCAGATTTTTTATCGGTGGTTCACCAGAGTTAGAGTTTCCTACTTATACTGCCATTCCTTCTACATTTGATGTAAGTAACATTTTTCTTATACGTGTGTCTATATGGTGTAATTTTTTTTTTTTTTATCGTTGAAAAAGAAGAAAATTGTAATATGCTGAGCTGTAAAAATTAACAGAATATATACTATTCTAAAAAGCTGTCTGATGACAGCAATGTCGGCAACATTAGATGAGTTTTTATCATAAAATCCAAGCTTTTGTTACAATATCATACTGAAAATTTGATTATTTTAGGGTAGCCATCTGAGTAAATTTGGTTTCCGAACTGAAACAACAGGAAGTGTGTGTATGAGATTTAATACCATGTTACAATCAAGGTAAAATAATGTTTAAATCTTTCTGTCAGCTAAGTTGGAATTTGAATCCTGACACAAGAATAGGTTTGTAGAGAGGATTAACCCTTGTATATTATCTTATATTAATAAGTTTTGAGACATATCAATAGTTTTACCTATGTTCATGTTGAGCCAGAAATGTTAACATTTTATCTTTGTGAGATAATAATGCTCTCATACTTCCCCCTCATTTTGACTGATAAATATTTTAATTCTAGAATGTTTGTACAGAAGAAATCCAATAAGAAATCATTAGGAGCTTTATTAGATAATTTAGGGTAAGACTTTATTTAGATATCTTAGAACTTGAACCAAAACTCGACAAATATCTCTACTCTTTATTTACATAGTACCACAGGTCATTCTGTTTTCTAATATTTTCACAGGATATATTTTCTTTTTCAGAATTACATCTCAACAAGCTAGTGTAGCAAGTGTTATAGGTAAATTTTATAATTTTGATGTTTATCTGACTCCTATCAGAAATGTATTAACAGGTCTTAGATCTGAACTTGTGGTGACAGTTATTCAGTCATAGTTTCAGATTCTTTAGCATAAAAGACAATTCTATTGTAAAAATTCTTGAAGTAAAAGTCCAGGTGAAGTGCAATTAAAATAGGCCATTTTGAACAGACATTACTTTCCATTTAAAGAATTTGTGAATCAATGTCACAGTAAATTCACTAGGAGGAGTGTGTGCTATGTTCATATTTTTAATTTAACGAAGTTTTCATTTATATTTTCTTCTTTTTTCAGAGGCTTTCAAGAAAGCCAGATTAAAAATGTTACAGGCTAGAGAATCGGCTACTAGAACTTTATTAAAAGATGATGATGATAATGAAAATACTAAAAAACAATAATTAAACAATTCCCACAATATTTAGAACTTAGGAAATCCCTGATAAAGTGCTCTTAATCTATCTATCATCCACTGTGAAACAAAGTGAAACAAACCATTCTTCATGTTTAAAATAAGTATGTAAGAGTTTTCATCATAGACTAATATTTGCATTATTTGAACCAAATTGATCAGATTTGCCTGCACTCTGTTTGACTTTTATCTTCTGCAAAATATATCATTATTAGTTTCAGCAAGTTAATTATAAAGAACTTTAGAAGGTGCCTGAAGTGAAAAATTGGAATTCAAAACTGTTTAATTATGTGAATTATTTGCTCTGATTGCAAAATATTATCTGAAATCTATGACATTTATTAACTTCTTTCTGATAAGTGACTTCATCATTAAAAGTATCTGTTAAAACTTGTTAACTCAGACTGGCCTTGTTAGTTAAACAATGTGATCCATGCTTGTATCAATTGTGAAGATCATTTACAATATCTCATTCCGTCCTTGTTAAGTATTGTAGGTTAGTATCTGATAATTTTGTATGGTAGTTGTTATTATTGTGTAGTTATTGTATTGTTTATTTTTAATGTTTATTTATAAATTTATTTATATTTTAATAAAATATTTTATATCAAGCCTTTACATTTATTGAGTCTCTATCTTGGTGTATTACATTAGAGGATACTTATAATGTCAGCGCATACTACAAATTATTTTTACCTTGCATTGATAAAGCTTTTATAAAGAGAAACCACAATATCGTGGGTGACGCAAAATTACTTCTCAAGAAAAACGCAAAAAAACTATTTGTACGAGTATTTTGTTAAAGTCTTTTTTATTATTTTTTTTCCCGCTATACATGGTTTTCATTCTTTGAAAATTTAAACCTCATATAACATATATACCGAACCAGTAACTCGTATATTATATTTAACAAGGTTTTTCGTTTTCATCTGCAGAAAAAGGAACATTGAACCTCGTATAATATTATATTTGAGGAGGTTTTAAATCTGACCGTTTATTTACGTGTTATTTAATTAGTGGTTTTTGGGTTATTTACAATCAAGTTAAAATTACGAGGTTTTGATCACAAGATCTGCACTTTATGAGCTTTCGAACATTACCAAAAATATGGTATATACGAGGTTTTAAGCGGTCACCCACGATATGTAGCACTGGCTTTATTGCATTTAGATCAAAGCATTAAAATGGATCTTTTAAAAGTAATTTTCATAGATAAGCTCTGATAACGATTGTGTATCTCACAACCAATGAGTAAAAATTGAAAGATGAACAAAGCTGATTATTAAAAAAAAAAAATTTATTTTAAAATAGTCTTTTAATGAACACACATGCATGTATAACTAAAAAAACACTTTTTATCTATGTGAATTTTTGGAAAGTTGAGAAAAGCAGTAACACATCATCCCTCAATTATAATTACAGTATTGTCATCGAGTCACATAAATCCATTTAATTTCAAATGCACAGGTGAGTCCTAGTTGAAGCTCATTTTCTTACATCTCTAGATCTGGCAGGGGGTTGTCTATGTTTGTGAGAAGGAATGTTTGAAGATTCTGGTTTGGCTGCTTGAGGTTTGCCTGAAGCCGTTTTTGTCCGTCTGGTTGGCCCACTCATAGATTTGATCATGTGCAAAATGGCTGCAGGAGCTACATTTAATTTTAATAAATCTAGTATAATTCTGAAAAGAAAGAAATGTAAAATACAGAAAAAGTAGCTGTTACAAATTGGTATTATTCTGCCATGATGTGTTCAATCAATTTCATATGCACAAAAAAAATCTGAATAATTGAAATGAAATGAAGTTTTTTATGTCTTACTTTTCTAGAAGTAATTTGGCAAATGGAGATGAGTCACATCAAACAATGTGTAATGAGGGAAGTTTTTCAATTTCCAATGTCACAGCCAGGAGTACACATGGCCACATAAGTTGATTGTCCCATTCAAAAGACTAGACACTTTTCCATGTCATCCTCTTCTATCTATATCACTGACAGGTGAAGCCGAGTTGAATATATATTGAATAGCACAAGCATGACATACTTGAAAACTTGAGGATCTGTAACAACGCCTGCTAACTGTGTTAACTCATACAGCTCTGTCTCATCTGGCGCCAGAACATTCTTACTACACAACTGGTATCTCAATACCTCACTTCCTGTTGTCATCTTCAAACTGAAAAATATGAAATTATTTCACAAATTTCCAGATAAACAATTAAAAATATATTGTCCTGATCATAAACTACTTAAGTGTTTCTGGAGAAGGCTGTTAGCCGAAACGTTAAACAACAAGACAATTATATATTCTGAAAAATATGATTCCGAGCTTTAGTTTTGTTATAAAATTTATGAACTTGGTATCTTTTTTGCAATATATCACACATATCACTAGGCCTATTCAGCTAATCTATCGTTTTACCTCACCAAGATATTAATCAGACACTGTTAGGCATAGACTTACAGCAGAATTTGACTTCACAAATTAAACTTTTAATGAATATCTTTATTTAATCTGTGCTACATGTTGGAGAAACCCAATCTGGTTTTATTACAGGGATAGTGTACAGTGTAGATGTGCTTAGTTAGCATATCAATCTTCTCTATCAAATTTTTGCCACACAACAGCTATACTTCCGAGGTTCTGATAAAGGCTTAGTACTAGTAATCAAGTATACACAAATGAATCTATGTCGAGCGCATAATCCTACAAATTTTGAATTAGAATAGGTGCAATGCCAAATAAAGGACTGAAGGAAGGGAAGGAGTGTTTTGAGATTGCCTGTTAACCTGTCCTGTCCTGGCTGGAAGTGGCACTGGGACCAAGGATTTTTTGGGAAGAATATGTGCTTGTTTGAATATGAAGTGATTGTGGTGTGTGTAAGCTACTAACTTTAATTCAGTGACCCATTGCCTTATGATTATAAACTACAAAATCCGCCAGCAATTATTCTGACAGGTGCCCTTGACCTTGGTCATTATTTTTCTAATTCATCCGCGTCTAACTGCTGTTATATTTGCAATTCAGTGAAACTTTCTTTACTGTGGAGAATCTTGGATAGAAATAAAATGTTATAGACATAGAATCGACCAACTCCAAGTTGAAAAGAATGAGAAATACATGCAAATAAAGAGGAACTACATTTTGTTTTGTATCAAACGGAAGTTACAGAATATCATTATTTGTGCGTGACGTGGACTTCGGACATTTTCAGAAATTGTTCTCATGTTTACAAATAAATGGAGTTTAATTTATAAATTGTAGGAAAATAACTACAACAATTGGTTATAGGTGTTGACAAAACTGCTGAGGAAATGGCAGACGGCAAACAACGTATGTCCCATTACAAGGGATTTCTGTATAAATGGACAAATTATTTAAAGGGCTACCAAAAAAGATGGTTTGTTCTGCAGAATGGTCTGCTATCTTATTATAGGTATGTATATCGAAACTATCAAGTGAGTTTATGCTATGGAATGGCAATACTCTGTTGACAGGTTTAGAAAAGATAGTCATTATTGACATTGATTCCAATGTTCATTGGAGATCAATCAAAAATAATGTAGTCAGATATTCAGATAATTCTAGAAGAGAAGATATGTGGGTGGGGTGTAATTATTTTCAATTTCTTCACATAAAAAAAAGTGTTATGAATTTTTAGTTTAAAAACACAAGGTCATGTGTGAAGTATGCATCACCAGTCAAGCTTTGTATTTAATTATTTTATTTTGTTTACTAGAATTAGTATCTTAATTCGTAAAAATTGATTGTTTTAACTTTATTAGGCAAAGTGTCACTCTATGACTGCAATAATTCCTTAAATGACTTTTCAATAATTCAATTAATACTTCTTCAGTACTGATTTCTTTAAAGGAAGTTAAAATTAGTTCTAATCTTCAAATAGAATGTAATATTATTCCTTTAATAGTGTTTTCTTAAAAAATGTTTTAACAATGTAATAAATGTAGTGCCATGATAATAGTCTAGAAATTGTTAGAGCAGATCAGATACAAAACAGTGGAGATATATGTCAATTATTTTATTTTAAGCATTGAAGCTTTTAGCTTGACAGCATAGCGAATTTAAGCTCTTGATGTGGTGCTAGAGGCAAGATGAAATAGGCTCTAAGTACATGAGCTGGTAACAGTTTTAATATTTTAAGTACGGTAATTTAAATGAAAGTAAATATAAGAGTCAAAGATCTTCAAAATGGCTTATCTAAATCTTCAAAGTAGCCTATCTTTGATTATCATTTCTGATAAATTATTGTGAAATTTTGATCTAGATATTATTTTTATCTTTAATACAGTAGAAAATATTACTTTACATTATTCCTTATGGCCTAGAGCACATACATGACAATATTCTTCATAAATAGACTAATCATAAATTCAATTTCAACTCATTCAGAAAATATTGATTTTTTTTATTATACTAGTGCTGAAAGTTGAAAATAAAAAGTGAAATTTAAATATCAACAACAAGCCTTAATAGATATAATGGCACAACATAACACATTATTTAATGGCAGCCAAATTGTCGCAGCACTAGTGGGAGTATAGTTTAATCCCCACTTCAGTTTTAAAAATTTCAAATTATTATTTCTGTAACTTATGTTGTTGTCTTAAAAAATGTGTCAGAAAGCACCAAATCAATTAAGCTTATATTTCTCAAATTCAGAGATTTCAGACCAGGGTAAGGTTGGAATCTTCCATGGTTGGAACCTCAACCCCATTAAGTCAGCCTGCCAATTATTTGTACCCAATGAAACTGTCACCGGCACTGGTTTGATAGTTCAAATATCACATTCTGGTCATTTGGGTTTACAAGTGTTGTAAACAAGTTCAGATTAAAACAAAGTTGAATTTGAGTTGTTATCATCTGGTATATGCAATAACTTGAATGACTGTTTCCTTGTTAGTTGCAATTAAAAAAAAAGTTGATAAATAGAGTTCCTTGAAAAATTTATATACTAAGCTATAGAAAATTAGCAATCATATGCAGATGTTAACTTTACCCAAGGTTTTCATTAATAGAATCAGATTATTTTATTATCTGTGCCAAGAAACTCCGAGTACTGGTACTTGATAAATAGTGCCAACATTTCACTATAAAGTATAGAATACCTGATGTCCGGCTGTTAGAACTATATATAAACTCTTGTTTGGTCAAAAGATTCAGATGATAATTGATAAAAAGATACACTTGTTCGTTAGGAGTATGACGTGGCTTTCAACAATAAAAAGAAAGAACTTTATTTTACAAGGATAACAACTTAAGTTCACAATTAAGGATTTTTTTACAAGCTGGTACTTGGACAAACCTCTTGAAATTAATTTCTCCCTGATTATCTGTACCCATTTACAGCTGAGTCAGGTGGAATTATTAGTGAAGATGATTTATTCTTATAACTTTCACATGCTAACTGAGATCAGAACCCACAGCCACCATTTGTAACATAACAAATATGACATCATGTAAAGAACCAACGCTTTAACCGACTGTGCTATAGTACCTCATAATAGCCTAGTCAGTGTATTATTTGACATTTATTATTAATATAGATGCAGTTATATTTCAACAAATTCTAAGAATAATGTTGAACTATAGAAAGGAATGTTAACACTTGTGATTTGAATAGAATATGATAGCATTGCATATTGGAATGTTCTATATTGAACTAAGATAGAGAATTCCTAGTGAGTTATTGAGAATGAACAGATGGTATAGATTAGAAAGATTGAGATTATATAATTATTATCTGGTGGTTTATATCAGCTAGCCTAGTTCATTATCAAACAGATCAATTCTTCTCATTATATAGAATGGTTGTTCAATTATCAGATCTATAATAATTTGAATATTTATTTAGCACCCAATCAGTGTTACTGATGTCATACTCAAAGCTTATTTCTTTGCTGTCATATATATTAATGCGTAATTTCTAGATACTGAACTTTATTTGTGTAATTTATGTATAAATGATATAGACATTTTGGTCTAGTATTTAAGGCGTAGATTTAATTATTCATAAATGTTTTAATTATTAAAGATGGCTTTCCACACTTTAAATCAAGCAAATTATCCATGTATTCTGAACTAAGGAAATGCTAAAAACTCAAATGTATTTATTGGCCACACTTTAACGTTAATAGCCACATATATTTGGAAGGGGATATGGAAAGTTAAAACTGATTTTAATTAATCTATTATAATTGTTCAAAATGAAATTTAATCTTTCCTGTTGCTGGAAATAATCATAAATGTCCATGGCTGTACAGACTATATAATTGTAGAAAAAATCAATTGATCATTCTATTGTGGTCAATTGTCAGAAAATTCATCTGTAATATTTTCCAATTAGCTTATTACGGGTTAATTAAGGCGTTGGTATTTTTCCAAAATCATTAGATCATATATTAGTCGTCCAATAATTAAATATGGTATATAAATAAATGAAAATAAGAGAACCCATCTTTAAGTGATCGTTGATATTTTCAAAAGTTATTTTGAATATTTTCTTGAATAGAGAGGCAATTGTCATTTTCAATCTTGTTTAAATTCAAGAAAAATTCTCTATTCATCAATTTATAACACACTACTTACCTTATTTAATATAGTAACAATAAAATTCATAACTAAAATATAGTTAACTAGGTTCTTTTGGCTTTTCTTACTGTTTTTAGTGTGTAATAATTTTTTTTTTTTTTTTAAAATACGTCTAGCATGAACACAGATTACATGTTGATATTCTAAAATGCAAAATTGAATAATTTGACATAATTAGATAAATCCAAATTTAGGTGCCTTTTGTAATTGCATCATTTGAATCATATCCAAAGATATAAATGACACAAAATAAAGGGAAAATTGTAAATTCTGTGAAAACTTTACTAGAGTAATTAGTTAATTGAGTAACAGTGGTAATCAAAGATATTGAAAGAATTGAAATAGGTGTTTTCCTAATTTGAAAACAGAGTTCATTAATAAATAATATGTTTTATTAATTTGGTTTACAATATACCTTATTAGATTTATCCTTGATTAAAATCAATTTTACTTTCAGAAATCAAGCAGAAATGGCCCACACTTGTCGAGGAACAATCAATTTAGCTAATGCTGTAATACACACTGAAGATTCCTGTACATTTGTCATCTCCAATGGTGGAGCTCAAAGTTTTTATTTGAAAGCTGTATCAGAAGTTGAAAGACAAAAATGGCTAACAGCATTAGAATTGGCTAAATCTGAAGCTATTAGAATCCAAGAAGTTGGTACGTAAAAGAGTAATGATTTCATTCTATTATTCTGCATCTAATTGGAAACACTGGCAAACCATGCTTTGTGTAATGATGTAAACAGTCTTTTTCCCCACTGTCTTATGACACATTATCTATATCTAGCCGTTTTAAACAAACTTGAAGACATTGAGATCCTTCTTAATGCCAATATATTTTTTAAAAAAAGAAGGTTATTCAAATTAAATAAATGAAGAAGGATTTCATGCTGTTGTTCTATACCCAATCTGTGCCATGCTTTGTACAATGGAGCTAATTTTTTACTAGAAAAGCAACAACAGTGCCAAATTACTATTTAATTTTTTTCCCCACATTCTGATGATCGTTAGTGTAAATGGACATTTCTAAATTGACAAGAGGATATTGAAAATCTTCTCAACGCCAATGCATTTAAAAGACTAAATTCCTTTAAAAATGATTACCCACATTTCTATTCCATTTGATAATTGAAGAACACAATTCAACATCTATGCAGACTATTTCAAATGACACGGCCAACAACTATTACACTAGCAATATTAAGCTTTAATGATAATGAAACCTGAAAAATCAATTCTACAGTCAAAGAATGAAATTAAATCAAATCAATGGACAATGACAGTCTAGATTTTTCTTTAAAGGTCACAAAGTGATTGCATAACAGATCGTTTCTTAAAACTCAGTCTTAAAACAACAGTAGATGGTGTTTTTGGCAGACTAGGCCTCTTACTTATTATTGTGTTCAAACAGACAAGATCGGTTGTAACATGAATTCGTTCTATCAGCAGAATATTTTTAGAATTTGCGGGTTGATATTTTAGCTAGTTATTATAAGAAAATTCATTATTTTTATAAGTGAACTGTCTACATTGGATAATAGAAATGGCATTGATGCAGACACTTTGTAATGATATAGGCTGGTCATATAGCTTTACCCACAACTAATCAATTTTTCTTGATGAAATACAAAAATTGAATTGCCACTCTTAATATATCTCACTTGAAGCCATTGAACATTTCAACACAACAGTGCAAAACAGAAAATTATGGTTTCAATATTTTTGTTGTTGTCAAAAATAGAATTTAGAAGTTTCTTGGTAAACATTTTTTCCTGTAAATTAATGACAAATTAATGATTAATTTACATTCAAAAGACTACATATGAAAATTGTAAGGTCTTAAAGTTACTGAATCCATGAAACTGTTTAACAGTGCCTACTGTTTGGTGATGTTGAAAAAGTGTTAGCTATCATCACCTAATTCATTTATGATCAGTTTATATAAACAGTTTGTTTTGTTGTTGTAAATTTGATCTACAATAGAATTGTTGAATAGAATGTTAGTGATAGTATTTGGACAAACAATAAGTATTTATTGGACAATATCATGTAAATTTACACAGGGTTATATCTGGTTGCCTAGCAACATATATTAGAAAATGACTACTTAAACTTCATTTATCATGCAATTTGTCATTTATTGATTCTTTTGAATAACCCAACCCAATCATGGGAGGTAACTTGATGTTTACTTTCATGTTTTATTATTGTATGGAATTGATATCCATTATTAGAGAAATATGTCATATATTCCTAGCATAATGCCTTTAGGTATTGTATTAATGACCTATGTGTACTGCGATATTATAATTTAACATCTGTCTCAAAATAAGAAATATTATAACAGAACCTGAAACTTGTTACGCTGAGGGATTTTCAGACAACTGACCTATTTCAGTCCTCATCCATTATGTCTATATATTATATCAAAAAACAGAATCATTTAAATATATTACTTATACTAGGATGTATCACCAAAATAAATTGTTGAATCTTAATTAGTTTAATATTGATTTTTGTCATTTCATCAATTTTATAAACTAAATTGATCAGAAATGATTTTAAGATAAGTGTGAACAATAGATGAATTATGTTTTGATAATGCCTGACTTGTATGAAATAAAGCTCCATGTAATATTAAAAAATTATACAAATAATAAACCCCATATCATAACTGTATTCAAAACATAGGTAAATATAGCTTCATTATAAACTGTTTTAATCTGTTTCAAAGGAATTATTTTACTGTTGAAGCACATTTTGTAGCTATCATTAGTATTTGGGATAGCAAATTATCTATTGTTGATGTGATAAAAAAGAGTTTGTGTTATGAATTAAAAGATATTCATATTTAGAGTGTACTTTTCTTTTGTGGCGAACATGATAAACATGTAAACTAATTTCAACACAAGACACAGGAAACTGATCTATTTTAGGGCATTGGATAACAATTTATTTTAGTCCGGAAGATTGTAGGCCCATTGTTGTAGTCACTTAAACATAAACGCTGAAATATTTACTAAACTAAACTTCACCTAAGGACTTTTCCAGAAAAAATCTGTAAAAACAAGAAAATAAATGGGTCCGGCCTTAAGCTTATTATTGAGTTATGCCCCTTGAACTGCATGTTGACATTTATTGTTACAAGCAGCAATGCAGAAATGGAACTTTCTGGCCTACCTTAAGGTCATTTCATATTTCTTAGTAATATTTTGAGGAATGTTTACTTATTATCCACTAAAACAATCTCAATATTCAAAACTCCAGTTGGTAAAAAAAACAGGTGCTAAATTAGCACTCATGTTTATGATAAATACAATAACAATAATTAACAACATTTTTCTATAATTGTAGAAAGTGATGAAGAAGAGCCTCAACCTGATAAAAATGAACTTCAGAAATCCCTGAGAACTTTAAACAGTAAATTAGAAGATTTAAACACCTGTAATGATCTAATAGCTAAACATGGTTCCGCTCTACAGAAAACTCTATCAGAACTAGAGCAACTTGAGTCCCCTACAGATGCACATAATAAAGTGAAAGCTGTCAATGAACGAGCTACATTATTTCGTATTACTTCCAATGCCATGATCAATGTAAGTAGCCTTTTGTCATTTTAATAAGCATATGTGTTCCGAGCCATATTCTGTCATCATCATTCACAGTGGCGTTTCTACAGGGAGGCTAGGAAAAGAGGCTGGCCCCCCACACCCAACTTTCAATTTTTTTATCATTTCTCATCGTGAAAGGATGACCTGTGGGCCACCTGGAAAATTTTGTGGCCCCTCACTTGATGTTTTCTAGAAACGCTACTGATATTCACAGTAATAATTGTTGTGGATTCCATATAATATAAAGTTTTTGAATTTGCACATGGAAACAAAGTAAAATAGGTTGAAGAACTTGGGGTCATCCAGCAGATACCAAATAAAAGGTGACATCAAAAGAGTTCACATGACCACAGCCCAATTGTCTGGAGTGAATTGGTTCATCTTTTTGATTTCATACAAAGACACTGCAGATTATCTATCTCTGCTGACCTGAAGAAGGGGCTAAATTGTCACATGGTGGGCCCAACCCCTGTGGACCCCACCCTAACAACAGGGCTGGCCATATAGGCACATTTCTTGTCAACTTTATTACTGGTTTAAGACAGTGTATAATATCTTCATGCAACATGTACTTCTTTATCACCCAAAAACAAATTAAAATCTACCGACCTAAAAATACTTTGTTATGTGAAATTACAAAGCCTTATCCGCCCTTGATATATAAATAACTCTCTTTGATAATTACGTATTGGTGACAATAGATCAGTAGGTATTACTTATATAACTGATATGAGACTTATAACAGTTTAAACCCAGGTTATTTATAGTATTTTGACCTGGATTAACTGATTGTCACTGACCTTTGACCCTGAATCATCTCATCAATAAGTAGTGATTGTGATATGGTTCAGTTAGGTTGAAGTTTTAATGTGAATAGGGAGTGAGATGTTAGAGTTCTAGTTACTTAAAACAGTGACATCATGTCACAAACTGTGGAGGTAAATGAATGTTTTCAAATTTTAGTATCAAAGTTATTTGTGACATTCGATGATCATTTATCAAATGCTAGTGGTTATGTCTTTCTTAGTCTCATGATGAGGCAATAATGGTGCATTGTTTACGTTAGTGTAGTTGAAATGTTTTCTAATCTTAAGAGAGATCATAAAATTTTAACAAGAGTATGTATTTATCAGTGGACTTACCTGGTGTTATAACTATATAACAAAATCCCAGTATAATCTGTTACCTATCCTGAGTTATAACAGTTCTATATCTATTCATATGACATTGTCATTTTTCATCAAAATTTTTAGGTCTCAAGATGGGTGACAATATGTTAATGCAACCTTTTTTGTCCTCTTTTTTGTATATTGGTTATCATATTTTACAGTTATCAAGGTTGAACTTTGTTTTGTGTTCAAGTTGATCATAGATATATTTGAACCTTAATAAAACAATAACTTGAAAGTTGTTTACAGTCTGATAGAGGTCATCTTCACAAAGTCAAACTATTACAAACTTCTTATAGTTACAGCGTGACTGCAATAATTATCTTTCTTGAATCACAGAATGCATCAATTTAATTGGATTGTATGCCAGTAAATACAGTCAATCATAGCTCTTTACAGACAGAATGTAAAGATTATGGCTTATTGTTTACAGACTCTCTGTCATGGAATCTGGATGTATATTCACTAGCATACAATCCAATCAAATTGCTGCATATTTACAAACTTCTGTAATACAAGATGGTGGCTATTGCAGTCAAGGTATAAGACAGAATACCTGGGCTGCGTAATAGCTTGATATTGTAAAGATAGTTTGAGGTATATATACAATATGACTAGTCAGTTCTCCCATAATTTCTATTCATTTCTCCATACATGTTATGTCCTTCACTACTCCATAAAGTTCTGACCAAACATGAAGCCTTAAAGTACGCCACTATCGATGTTCCTTTTGCAACGGGACAATGATAATGATCATCTAGCCGTTGCTGTCACAATCCCATATTCTCGTCATTATTTTTGATTGGGAGACAATTTACGTCTCTACCAATTATATTCCTTCAAACAATATTTTCCGGTAAAATGTTTGAATAACCAGACGCAAAATTGGAAGTACCGAATTTAGTTTCTTTTTTTTCCCTATGTTGAGTTGCTGTCATAGTGCCAAACAGCTTTGATAGTTTTCAGAGCAAGAATAAAAAAAAAATCAACAATTTTTACATTGAATAATATTCACATTTATCCCAAATGACTTGCGAATCAATGACCCAGCAAGTACAATTACACAAATGAGTTATGCCCCTCATTTTGTCGTTACTGGAAAAAATCCCACCTGAAAACTTTGAAAATTGATTTATAATGAAACAGAGCAGGACTTTTCATATTTTTGGTCTAATTTTCATTTTCATTGCTAGGTACAAATCAGTATCTTAGATCTAAAATCATGGTTTATGATTAATTGATATAAAAAAATAAATTTTCCATTTGTGAAAATGTGGTTCACAAATTGTGTGGGATTCAAAAAGATAAAATTTATTAGCATTATTTAAAAATCTTAATTATAGTTGACTAGGGGACCATGACTGACCATAATGGGAGGTGGATGGTATGACATCACCAGATGTAACAAACAATATTGTTATTGAATTGTACCTAACTTTTAGTGAGTTTAGACCAATCCTTTTTTTGAATCAAAGCTGGTAGTTAGAATATAGTCTACTAGTTTTAAATGGAAATTTAAATTATATAGAAATGTTGTTTGGTTGAGAACTGTCAGAGTTTTCTTTCCCATGTGTCCTGACCCTGAAGTATGTATAGCATATAAACCTACACCCTGAATAAAGAATAAAAAATCCTGTTTCTGAAACTAAGGTATGATTGGTCGAACGGATAGTGAAGGTGCTTCTGTAACTAATCTATTTGACCTTATTTTCTATGAATCCCAAGACTATAAGTGTTGGAGCCACTGATCTTAATTAATTGTGAATGAAGAGTAAAACTAATAGGACATCGGAAGAGAATTGAAACAATCACTTCCTTTAACTATTTATGTGATGGATGGTAAGGGAAAATCTGCTAAAGGGAGTTAACTGATGAGAATTTTGTACTCAGATAACCATCATACTGTTTTTCACAGTATAATATAGATTAGTGCTCTAGATAAACTCTTAAAGTTCAATCTTGATTATAATAGACACTTTGTAAGTGCATTCTATATTCTGATATATGATTTTCACACAAACACTGATAGCTTAAGATGGAAAATCAGAAAGAAGTATTTTCAACCATTTTTACACCACAGCACTGTCACTCTATATATAAGACTTATGATTGTTAGAATTGTCTAACTTATCAGACAACAACATTTAAAAGTGGAGAGCACATATGACAAAAAACACAAGGGGATATATTATCTATTACTTTAAGTATATCTAACATGTTTCATAACTTTCAACAGAGGTGTAAATTTTGTTGAAAAGTTATGTACATTGTTAATGATGAAGTGTGTTATACAATGATATATTCCCTTTTGTTTTTTGTTATATACAGATAAATTTTGATCAATTTAAATTGATGATATAGTGTTGTTCACATAATTTTAACATTTTCAAAATTGTTCGTGCAAGAATAAGTTTTGACTGACATCTAAAGTTTGATTGGGTTTTTGAACAACTGTTGGTCAGGGACATTAGAATCCTGTTCAATTAGAATGATCAGTTAGCATATCAAGAATTTTCACAGCTAACTGCCATAATTGTAGAATGAATATTCAGATTTGATACACTACTAGCATGAGATTAGCTCCTTTAAATTTATAAAAATGAATGAAGTTTACAATATTTGATCTAGAAACAGAAGTTGAAGTAGAAGAAATTGTAAATTGACTAATCTGATAAAAATTCATGACATGTCTAACATGACATACTAAATAAACAGTAAATTCAGAAATTGAATGTGAATTGAGACTGAATAAATATACAGTGACATGAATAGGGTAAAATTTAGACAATGTAACATGAACAATGTTAGGTCTGTTTATCATTGTGCTAGGATATTAAATAGGTGTGTAGCTGTGCTGTTGATTTGGTTGTCATTTAACTGGATCGCTTCAATACCTGGCTATTTATTAAATACACAGGATACCTTATTTTCTATCATATTTTTGATGTAGAAAGGTACTCCCTTTAATATTTCTACTTGCATATATGTATATCATATTTTTGCATTGAGACAGATTATGGAAATGTAATAAAAGTATTCTATATAGTTTTTTTGGATATAGATTCATCATGTATTCAGAATTCACTCCTGTTCTCTCAAATTTTTATACGCCCACATAAAATATATTACCTATATTGTTGAACTATTATCAGATTTTTTTGAGATTGATTAATTTGAGGGTAATATTTTTGGATGAAATGTTATTTGATAAATTGTCAGTAGGAAGCCTAGTTATGTTATTTTAAAACTAACTTGAGTAACATCTGTTTGTCGTATTGATTCCAGTTAGGTAGTATGTGTTATGATTTCATTGTCACCTTTCTCTAGTTTATTATAGACTATGTCTCATAATCCATAGCCTGGTTATGTTTGATTTTGTCATTTTGTTTATCACAAGTTTATATTTTAGCCTGATCTTGGTCAGTTTTGTTTAAATCTGGATATCTTGTTCAGCCTAGTTTGTCATGGCTATATCGTGACATTGTGGTACATTATGACTTGGTATAAGCTTGCCTTGTTTAATTTTGTTTCATGGATATATCGTGTTTACGTGGTTTGTCTTGAGACTTGATTAATGTTATTAAAGTGACATGGTATTGCCTTGTTGGTTATCTTGTTCAGTGTGGTGCATCATAGCCTTAATTTTTTTTATGGTGCATCGTGACTTGATATAAGCTTATTTTGTTTCATTCTATCCATATGGATATATCTTGATCATTTGATTCAATTTAACTTATTAAATAAAACCTTATATTCAATTTGGTACATCTTGTTCAGTTATGTTCATCAAGACTTTATGTAAACTTGTCTTGTTCAATTTTGTTCATATCGCAATAATTTTTTTCAGTTAAGTTTGAATGACTTTAAATAAGGTTATTTTGTTCATATCCTGATATGTCTTGTTCAGTTTAGTTTTTCATGACTTGCGCTACTTTATGTAATTGATGATATCTTGAGACTGTTTTATTATGACATTAATTTGTGAAAAGGTAAGAAACTGTCTACTTCTAATAAATTCAAGCAGTTTATTTGCACCTCAGTGGTCCTTAAATTCACAATGAATATTCATGACTGTTTTAATTGACTGTCAGTATTTCAATTGAGTTTTTATGCATACACAAATTATAATGCTCTATGTAATTTGGTGCTATTGTCGAAAGGTCTGTATGATTTTATCTTAGTAAATTAATTAATTTTATGAAATACATGATAAATGTTAGAATTATTTCAACTCAAATACAATATGAAATATAAATGGAGGTATTGATTTAATAGCATGTTCATATTAGATTTATAAATGAATTAGAGTTATTTGACATTTAATACAGTTAAAGTTATTTCTAAAATAAAATATTTACAGACTTGATGTTATTACTTTTGTGAAATTCCAGTTCTCCAGTCATAAAAACTAATTCCATTTCTTCTAAAAAGTTAAAAATTGACTTACATTTCTAATCAATATGATCAAATTACAAACAGGTTAGATTTGGCTTAAAGTAATACGACCTCTTAGAATGAACATAAAATTTAAAGTCTCAAAACATTGTCAATAAGTGCTATGACTAAAGAATAGAATCTCTATATAACACGATATATCCATTAAACTAAATAGTTGTTGGAAAAAACTTTTAAGCATGTTTCAAAATTACTTGGTTGTACAGATTTATTGAATTATACAGGGATTCTGTTGTATATTTGTAACACCAGGTACTTCCACTGATGAACAAAGACTAAGATTAACCATAATTAATACATTGATAGACATATTCTTCCCTTCCAGAAATATCAACTAAAATATATCAAAGTTTAGAAATACACTTTCAAAATGATATATGTGCCCATGTGTAAATATTTGTCAATCCCAAAACTTTCAGTACTATTTTATATTTCAACCTACATATAGATAATGGGTAAAATTGAATTTACTGACAAGTATGAGAAGACAGTTACCGTCCAAGTGAAGAAAATGACTTGATTCCATTTCAAGAATCACTTATAGAGAACTTTCCATTTACACATTGGTACTTAATATAATATGTTAGACTTAATTTATCTGTCTTTATGTATATTTCAGGCCTGTTCTGAGTTCTACGACCTAGCCCAGACAAATGGTCGTCGCTGGCAGAGAATGTTGCAACATGAACACGACCAAAGACTGAAGCTAGAGGAAATGGTGGAACAGTTAGCCAAGGATCAGGTGTCCTTAGAAAATAAAGCACGCAAGTCCTTACATGGGGGAAATAATAATCATAATTCTGGTAAGTACAAATGGCCCTTTTGTCCATTAGCTCAGGGATATCATTGCCACCTGCTTAAAACATTTTGTTTCCACACAACAAAATCCAAGATTGATATTGAACAATCTTTTAACACTGATATTTATGACTTACAGTGTTCTGGGCAAATTTTGGGCTACTGTTTATGTGACAACTAATCTATATAAATAAACAGTCAGTAAACAAACAATAAATTCTCATGTCTTATCCTGACATCTATTTGACATGGATTCGGGGAAAAATTGGGGACTTAAGAAGATATAAATAGGATGAAAACAGAAATAGGAAGAAGTATTGAAATGATAAATTACTGACCTTTTCCCTCATTGCACACTTCTTCTTGATAAACGTAACACAGAGAAAAAAAACGTTTTTCAAACTATTCTTTTTGTATTTTGTAAGTGGTTTAAAAGGTCGTAAATATTGAAATGATATTTGATCATATTTTTTCTGTCATTGCATACTTCTTCATAATCTTTTAAAACTCAATATATTTCAATATATTTCAATACATTTGGTATTATTTATACCCCAGTGGATTATGAAAATTCATAATTGATAAGTAACCTTTACAATGAAAGGAAGTCTACAGAATGATCTTATTGTTCTTGTTTAATGTCAGATGTTACTCTTATGGCCAACGAACCTGAGATAATTCTATTATCACTTTAATACTCTATTACATCATGAAATTTAATTAGTGCTTCTATTAATTAAATCATAGACAACCTGTCAGAGACTCTAGCACACTGACTGACTAACTGACTGATTCCAACCAACGGCACCGATCAAAAATAGTTCTATAGATCTAGTGACTCATGATGCTATAAATAGATTATAGGATAAAGTAACAACAGTCTGTATACACATGTTGACTGGTTTCATTTACTCCTGGGCTTTTCTCAGGATCGGATATAATTTTCTGATTTGGAACAATGAATTATTTTAAGGATCTGAAAATGTGAATCAAAGGTAAAAGATATGTTAAGTGTATTCTACGGATTGATTTCTTTAAAAATTGTTTTTAGTGGGATAGAGTTGTCTGTGATAGATTCTTGGATTTAAGATAGTTCTTAAAACACATTTAAGAAATTAATATCATCATCTGTTATCTTTATGGGTAATTTAATCTATATGCATTAGATCAATGTATTGTGAAAATTGTGTGTTGAATTGATCTGGGTATTCATTTAATTTGCTAACTATACAAGAATTCTTACACAATTTTTAATGTCAGACCATATTTTTAGAGAACACTCTAAAATTATTACCTGTATTTTATAATCAAATTAGCTTTGATTCACTAATTTATTTTGTTCAAATTAAATTCAAATATAAAAGACAAAAACGGAAACATTTTGACCTATAAGGTACAGTGGTGTAACCTATTTTCGTGGATATAAGGATTGAACACCGAATTTCGTCAAAGTTAAAAAAACGAATTTTATTTTTATGTCTTAGATGTTTCCTCAGATATTCTACAAAATAATTAAAATTGGTTTATTTCGATTTTCTTTATGAATTCTTCACTTTGACCCATATTTCATGAGCAACCAACTCGGCAACGGCAGCAGAATGCGTCACCTATTTCATGTACAATGTTTGATCTATAAATAAGTCTAGAAAAACACATTGTATGGATACCGGGTGGTATAATTAACTTCTCTTAGTATTTATCTTTAATATCAATTCATTATAACTAGTGACAATTCCTTCAAAGAACCACGATTTTAAAAAAAAAATAGTGACTGACAAAATAAGACACGTAGCGTGATTTATTGCTAAAACTTTAAAGCAATTTGTGCTTGGTTGAATAATTTGTTAGCTGAAAATAAGAAGACAAAAAAAACTTGTATTGAACCTAGGCTGTTATGGAAAGGGAGTATTTGTCGATCACAAAATGCTTCGATAATGGCTGTATGCTTTTTGAGTCAAAAGTAATATTATAAGGATGGAAATAAAATTTGTAACTTTTATTAGTAGTTGTGTAATAAATGAGAAAAATGATATTAAAAAAAAAAGGAAACTCAATTTGTAAGACAATATAATCTAGATTTATAATGGATTTTTAGTAATAATTGTTATTTGAAATCATATATTTTTCCATTATTTTGCTATAAAAATCAATAAAACTCTCTTAAAACCTGAAGAAATGATGAATTTTATGATGTTAACTTTAAGAAGTGACAAATGTTATAATGTTAGAGACAGATTGAATTGTTAATATAATTTTTAAAATGAACAGATCAAGTTTGGGAAAATGTCAATGTCTAGTAAACTCTCTAATATTTTAAGTGTTAATCTATCTTCATTTAATTTCTTCCAAGTGCAACTGAATAATTCTCTTGAAAGAATTGAATTATTATAAGCTACCTGTAACACTTATTAGAATGATTCCAATGTCTGCATAATATACATAATTAATGGAAACAAATTGATATATCTTACTGACAAAAATCAAGTTCATATTTAACCAATAGCGTGGGCCATATTAAATCAAGAATGAGGCTCCTAATGCAAACCTTGAAAAGATATTGTTATGTCACTGCATAAAATGGCCACCTTGACGTCTTAAAGCAAAGCCTTCTTCTCCAATCTCAATAACTCGAAACTATTCATATTTTACATGATTAAATTTTGAATTGAACCTTCACAAATTTTCGAGAAAGGGCAGTTTCAATCCCATTATCTTGCTGTTTAGCGAGTGTTTTATGACATCAAATTGGCTATTCGTTCATATCATATGACGTTGCCATCTTATTAATTTGTGTTATGAACCTCTCAAAAACGAAGCGTGAATAAGGTTTATATCATAAATGAAGTAGAATTTCATTTTGAAAGTGTTATATTTAGATCTATCATACGAATGATAATAACCAACATCATTTGAATTTGTCAGAATTTATCGTTTAACAGTAGCAATAGACACATTTCATGTTTTGTATCCACTAGTTTTCCCATTGAACAATTAACAAAAGAAATAAATATGATATTTGACATTGTTTTCAGGTTCCAACCCTTCAGATGATGAGGATTTTTTTGATGCATTGGATCACCAAGTGGAGGATGAGTTTAAAGTGGCGCTTCCACCAAAACCAGAAAAACTTCACAGGTGAGTTCTGAATTTTTTGACCAGAATCAAGAGTCTTGGTGCAAAAATCATGAATATAGATATCTGGAACTTGTACCATGCACTGTAATTATCATGAAACACATGGAAATCTAAAGTTCAGATTAAGAGTTGTTTACTGATTACCATCAGCCATATGGAATAGTGCTGAATATCACCAATTATGCCATAGTATGATATGGGCTAATGGTATAAAATTTAACACGTTATCTTCAAAGTTACAATATTTATTAATCTATACCTTTATAACTATGATATTTGGTAATGTAATAGGAGTAGAAAACATCCACTCTCTTATAAATAGTTGCTAATAATTTCAGTCAAGTCAGTGAGAAAAATTTAATTCCATTCTAAACTTTTTATGGAATGAGATGTCTCAATATACAATATATATCATGCCAGCACCAATATTGAATAGTTCAAGAACATTGGGATAACACCATCCTCACTTGACAAATATTAATGACATGATACAATGCAAAGGTTACTGTCTGCTCTCTGTTCATTGTGAATCACAATACAGAAAAATTATAATTGCCAACTCGTTATGACGATACTGATATTTTTGTCTAGTAGTACTGGTATAACCATGACTAACAGTATAATTATGACTGGTTAATAATTCTATATTTTTCACCCTAGAAGAACTGATAGTGATTTTAGTATGGAAAGTTTTACCAATGAAGTATCTAGTGAATCCGAATCTGAAATACCAATATCAGAAGCTTGTGTCTTTACTGCCAAAACTAACTCACCTAAAAGAAACCAGGTAATGTTTGTTCAATATTACTTTGAAGTTTTTGTGATATAACCAAGGGATCTAAATTCTTATTTTTGAAACGGCAGATTTTTTAAGGTTTGTGCCATACATGTAGATGTGCTAAATTGAAAATATATTATAAGCTTCATTATGCCAAATTTAATTTGGTTATCATATGCATGCAAAAATTTATAAAAATTGTTCATTTTATACATTGGCTATTTTTCATATTTCCTATGTTGGAATTTTATTTAAACTTTTGTTTTATGTACACTGTATTGAAGAATAACATTCCTGAAAGTATTATTGGTGCTAATAGCAAACCCTGCTTAAAATAGAATTGAAATTATCTAGAGACAATCTATCAATTTGCAGCTAATATGATTTCAGTGAACTGAATGAAAAATAGCTGAACTTTATCATATTAGCTCCTAATTCAAACCAATGTGTAGATTACAAAAAAAAAAATAGAACTTTCATATGGTTAGGAATATTAATATAGATTTGACAGGAAAGGTGATTTGCCTGTCATGTCTGAATGGACATCCTAAGTTTACTCTTTTTTTTTAACTCAAAGGTTGCAATTGCCCATACAGGAAATGCCATCTTTTCATTATGAAATTTATATATGAATATTCTTACAAATGGTGAAAATATTTGATTTGTAGTGTTGTATGAAGAATTGACTATTAATTTGCTAATTAGCAAGGGTTGATTAGTTACTGCTTTAAGTACTGATAATAGTATTACTTATATTTATTTTCATTTAGTAGCTACTAATACTAATTACCAAGGCCAGGGAAATTAATCAACAGCTTATTACACCTGGTGTCAGGTAGATTACTAATCTCAACTTCAACTGGTCAATTTTATATTGTGATGATCATACCAGTTTTACTATTGATGAAATTATTAATGATGATTGGTGAAGGATTGGACACTAAAATCTAATGACATAGAAAACTGACTTGGAAAAACATCTAGTTTCTCAGATAAACAGCAGCCCTTGATGTTTACGACTGTTTTCATCAAAGATCCCTCAAAAGTAGGAAAGCAATAGGCCAACACAACTTACTGTCCTGACAAACTGTCACTTGTTGCACATGACATTGCCCATTAGTCGAAACTAAAGCAGAAATGTAGGATTCTTTATTTGTTTTCATCACTATTTGTTTGAAGTTGAAATGTAGTGAATATGCTTTAAACTTAATCACAAAACCATGGTCAGAAGTCAAGTAACCACCATGACAGCTGTCGTAGATTAAACATTGGTTGCAAGGAGAATCCTAGTAGCATTGCCATGAGGATCTAGGTTTTTCAGAGTTTTCTAATGTCACTCAGTTTGAAAAGTCAGCCAGTTATTTTCACTCAGTTTGTAATGTCGGCCAGTCATTTTCACTCAGTTTTAAATATCAGTCAGTCATTTTCACTCAGTTTGAAATGTCAGTCAGTCATTTTCACTTAGTTTGAAATGTCGGCCAGTCATTTTCACTCAGTTTGAAATATCAGTCAGTTATTTTCACCCAGTTTGTAATGTCGGCCAGTCATTTTCACTCAGTTTGAAGTATCAGTCAGTCATTTTCACTCAGTTTGGAATATCAGTCAGTCATTTTCACTCAGTTTGGAATATCAGTCAGTTATTTTCACTCAGTTTGAAATGTCAGTCAGTTATTTTCACTCAGTTTGAAGTGTCAGTCAGTCATTTTCACTCAGTTTGAAATATCAGTCAGTTATTTTCATTCAGTTTGAAATGTCAGTCAGTCATTTTCACTCAGTTTGAAATGTCAGTCAGTTATTTTCACTCAGTTTGAAATGTCAGTCAGTCATTTTCACTCAGTTTGAAATGTCAGTCTGTCATTTTCACTCAGTTTGAAATATCAGTCAGTTATTTTCACTCAGTTTGAAATGTCAGTCAGTTATTTTCACTCAGTTTGAAATATCAGTCAGTCATTTTCACTCAGTTTGAAGTATCAGTCAGTCATTTTCACTCAGTTTGGAATATCAGTCAGTCATTTTCACTTAGTTTGGAATATCAGTCAGTCATTTTCACTCAGTTTGAAATGTCAGTCAGTTATTTTCACTCAGTTTGAAATGTCAGTCCGTCATTTTTACTCAGTTTCAAATATCAGTCAGTTATTTTTACTCAGTTTCAAATATCAGTCAGTTATTTTCACTCAGTTTGAAATGTCAGTCAGTCATTTTCACTCAGTTTGAAATATCAGTCAGTCATTTTCACTCAGTTTGAAATATCAGTCAGTCATTTTCACTCAGTTTGAAATGTCAGTTATTTTCACTCAGTTTCAAATATCAGTCAGTTATTTTCACTCAGTTTGAAATGTCAGTCAGTCATTTTCACTCAGTTTGAAATGTCAGTCAGTCATTTTCACCCAGTTTGAAATATCAGTCAGTTATTTTCACTCAGTTTGAAATATCAGTCAGTTATTTTCACTCAGTTAGAAATGTCAGCCAGTCATTTTCACTCAGTTTGAAATGTCAGTCAGTTATTTTCACTCAGTTTGAAATGTCAGTTATCAGTATAATCAGTCAGCTCGAATTGTCAATTATATTTAATCATTTGTCATTTATTCAAGTCATTATGAAATGCAAGTTATATCCAGTTAGTCTGAAATATCAAATATATGCAGTAATTTTGAAATGTCAGCCATATTCATACATTTGTTATCAGCATTCTACAGAAAGGAGACATTTTCATTGACATGGAAATTTTTGAATATAGGATAGAAAGCATTTCTGAATTGTGCCAAAAGTATTCACAAACATTTTATGGTATTCTTCAAAGTTATAATCAAGGTTTCCATATTGGTAACAGACACTTGAAGTCTTGAATCATAAGAGATCAAACAGGAATTAAGACAGAAATAAACCTTGACACTGATAGTTATGATAGATGAATATTACCATCTTTTTAACCTCAGTGAGTCCAAAACTAGTTGTCATGATTAACATTGAGCTCTTGACAATTGTGTATGCAAATCAACTTCAATACACGACATCAGAATAGTATTATAAGCTTTTGAGTCCAAAGCCAAAATAATGACTTGAATTTAAGCTTTATTGCGTTGGGTGTCTGAAGTGCAATACTTTTCTGGAACAATTGATGCCTTTCTGCTAATGGATCTTTTATCAACATAGCAATGTTTGTTTGGTATATTTGATATTTAATGACTGAAATGATACTGAGTTTGGTTGAGTTTTGTGTTTTTGTTTTCACTATTTGACAAAGCAATCTGGTTATTAAAAAGCACTGACAATTACAGATTTGAGCATTGTGAAGGAAATTTATGTGTTTATTACTTCAAACCCACATAATATGACTAACTATATTATAGTTTTAACAGATCAGCGTGTTTCTACTCAGTTTGGAAATGAAACAATTACAAAACAATTCAAAAAATATTGACAGCGGAACACATAAAATGTTAACCCTTCATAGGATAGAATAATATGTCAGGTTTAAACAAGCACCTGAATATTGATCAGTGTAATCCTAAACTGGTTGAAGTTGGGTTAATTCTCTTGATATGTTTGATAAGATGATTACAGACTCTGACTTAGCCTTAAACCAAATACACAGAAATAGGAGTTCTTATTGCTTAATATCAACTCATTGTGTTCATTGAATCAGTGTTGACTGAAACCTAGTCTATATATGGATGCTATAATGGTCTGTAAATAATGTGTTATTGAACTCTTTGAATACTTCTTCATGAAAATGCTGTTCTGTGAGGTTGGAATATGTCAATATCAAGTTGATTTAATATACTACATTGAACAATGTCTTCATTATTATGTTTAGGGTTTATAGGAATATGGACATGATATTTATATTTTGCTTTGGTTATTGACATTTTCCTTAATATGTAAACTTTTGTATAGTCTCTAGAATGTGCTGAGGGACAGTTTTAATTGTTATTGTGTCAAGAATTATCACAGAAAACCAACAGAAAGTGAATATTGTGTGCTATTTTTATACTAACTTCTCCTTGTTTCTTGTCTGGATCCATTTTAGTATTCATTTTATTATCTTTGTGTTTTTCAGAAAGAAAATGTTAAATCAGAACATAAACGTCAAGCCAGTCAGGATAAACTTAAAGTTCGTCAGCTGACATCTGAATCACTGAATGCTAGTGGTGAAACGTCTAATAAACGAGTCCGTCGTAAAAAGATACCAGATCGTCCAAATTATAGTCTTAATTTATGGAGCATTATGAAGAATTGTATTGGAAAGGAGTTATCAAAAATTCCAATGCCGGTAAGTGAACAAATTTCTATTGTGAAGAATAAAAGACTTGACACTTTGGATTAAAGTGGAAGTATGTGCTGGCTTTTAAAAGAATTTTTTATGAAGTCATTTCTTTCTTTTGTAAACATTTATCAATTTTTGAAAACAAATGTCTGTTCAATCAAAATATTTCCATTTACCCACATTCCTGTCCAAAGTATGACAAAATCAGGAGTAATAATTATATAGTAATGGACTCATTGCGAACAGTGTAAGCATGGTCTGCTTCACGTGTGACACCCGCCACTACTATATAGGTCAAGATCATGCAATTGCAAAATCATCCTTGATTTTCCATTACCATTAGTTTAACAATTATATAGATATTTCAAAATATACCCAGAAAATCAGCAAATACGCTCACTTTAAACTGAAGACATTTCTCTTGAGACTTGACTTGATGATAGCAACAAACAGTCGATTGCTTAACAATACTTGTTTCATTACACCTTTTATAATAGAAAATGAAGCTTTGTTGAATATAAAATAATAATCTTCTTTATTCAGCTTTTTGAAAAATATATTTAATAGTCATTTTGTCTTGATGGTATTTCTACATGGTATTTAGTGGGGTAGATTGTTGGCAATCAAATAATCAGTATTCAGTAATAACTAACCTTGTAACTGGTCAGGAAGGGTTTCTTCATCTAAAAAGACCATGCCTTAAATTTGCATTTTGAAAGATGTCTGTATGTATATCCTTTATCTGCTTTCAGGTTAACTTCAGTGAGCCTTTATCCATGTTGCAACGAATCACAGAAGAGTTTGAATATGCAGATTGTCTGCACAAAGCTGCTAAATGTGATGATTCTGCTGAACAGTTGGCGTGGGTAGCAGCATTTACAATATCAGCATTCTCGACTACGCTTCAAAGGACCGGTAAACCCTTTAATCCATTGTTAGGAGAAACTTATGAATGTGATAGAACTGATGATTTGGGTTGGAGAAATATTGCTGAGCAGGTTAGTGAAGTTATTAATACTTGTTATATATACACATATTGCAATCAACTTCATGACAAGCCATGGCTAATTTTATACATGAATAGGCTGCTTTTGACAAGAAATTTTTTTATTTGCACAATAATAGTGAATGTTGAGTGTTGGTTGTAACTTGTTTATCTTATAGTAATGTGATTTGATTATAGTGCAAATATAGTGCATCTATTATTACCTTCAAGTTAATCTTGAAAAATATCATTCACAGTACTTAATTCCTGTCTTGAAAACAAAAATATGTTAAACCTGTCTCTCTCTAGATCTTCTCCAAGCTTGTTAAGTTACACATAAAAAATAGAATTCTGAATGATTTACAGAATATTTGAATTTGGACTTTTTTTTGTAGGTCTCGCATCATCCACCAGCATTAGCCATGCATACAGAAGGTAAAGGTTGGACATGTTGGCAAGAGTTTACCATGACAAGTAAATTTCGTGGAAAATATTTACAGATTATTCCCTTAGGTAAACCAGTCTTTATATTTCGACAGACCATCAATTCCCAATCTCAATTCAATCAGTAAACTACCCAATGCTATTTCTTTAAAATTTTTACAGCCTTGTCAACTAGATTTGAATGGAGGGCCTTCATACTGATGCCCTCTAAAGTCTTCAATAAGCTCACCTCTGTGTATAATGAGTTTCAAATGCTAATTTCCGCACCAGCTGTCCTGATGATGCCTTTATATCTGAAACATAATATCTACAGTCAATTGGAATAAATGTCCCAATAACAAACGGATAGTTTTAATGACTTATATCCAAAACATGACATGTATCTAAAGTATGCCATAAACTAGAATTAGAATTAGAATAATGTCTTGATAACAGACAGAATATTTGATATACTGATATATTAAGCATTCTCATTCTATTAGTAGTTTATAAGCAATGTTTATATTATTTTAGGGATAGCTCATTTAGTCTTTCATAAATCTGGTAACCACTATACATGGCGTAAAGTGACAACTACTGTACATAATATAATAGTTGGTAAACTATGGGTAGATAACCATGGTGAGATGGATATAACTAATCATAAAAATGGTGATAAATGTCATCTCAAATATTCAGCTTATAGTTATTTCTCTAGAGAGACTCCTAGAAAGGTTCGTAATTACCATTCTTTGAATTTCATGTGCAAAAAAAAATGCCTTCTCTTTAATATATTTCTAAAGGTCAGATGAAAGAAAGTGCTTAGAATTGTCAATAAACTCAACAGGAAAGTAATAATGTCCCACTCTAATATTGAGATAATGAAGACTGACATGCAGTGTTCAATGATTACACTTTTAAAGATCCAATTAACATGATGAAGGTTATAGTCCCAAGTACTGGAACCATGTCAGTTGCATCACTGACAGAGGAAAACCAGTTGCAGCTGTCAAAGATGAAAAGATCATCAGTACTCTGTCATATCCTATCCTTGATATCCCTGTCAATAACTCTTTGTAGGTAACTGGAGTAATAACTGATATAACCAATAAACCACGCTGGGTTTTAACTGGTACCTGGGACAATCAGATGGAAGGAGCCCAGATTTTACATGTTGAAGAATCTAATAAAGGCAAACCAGTGTTTGAAACAGGTCCTCACAAAGTTATGTGGAAATGTAGACCTCTGCCGTAAGTCTGTTATTTGGTATAGATCTGAAGAGTATTTTGGCCTTCTCTTTATTTAAAACAGAAAAGAAAGGAAAAAAAAATATTTTAGAAGGATGATAACTTGTGTTTACTAGAGTCTTCTGTACCAGCTGGTCCGTGGTCGAACAGTCTGGCAAGCAATCGTACCTGTATAACATGTATTCTTGTACAGCAGGTTCGACTAGAAAAATGAGAAAAGACGACATATTTAAGATCACCAGACTTTTACACATCATATAAAATTAAAACCCATGATGACCATTTTTTGACGTAACCAAGGAAGTGTTTTTGATATACTCAATGTGATTTCATTTTAGGCCAGGAGCAGATAAATGTTATAATTTCACCCAGCTGGCTATAGAATTAAACGAACCAGAAGATGGTGTGGCTCCAACTGATTCTAGATTACGACCTGATCAGAGATTAATGGAGGAAGGTAAATGGGATGAGTCAAACAACTGTAAATTATTAATAGAAGAAAAACAACGTGCTACGAGGAGGAAACGTGAACAGGAGGCTGAGAAAGCAGCTAATGAAGGTAGGGTTGTGGATCATATCAAAAGCCTTTTAACATTTACCCTAATGAAAAGAAATGGAGTTTTACATCCTACTTTTCAATTCAATTTTGGGCAGCAGTGAAAGTTCACTATTTTTCATTTCCAACTCTCAAGGGATTTTCAAGCCTGTAGCTACGAGGGAATAACTCCAAGAGAAACCCCAACCTCCAAATAGTGCTTAAAACAAGAAACAGCCTATTATTGAGAACATTTTATTTTCTAGGTCGTGATTTTCCACAGTATCAGGCAACATGGTTTAAAAAGGATAAAGATCCGATAACAGGAAACTTAATTCACCAGTTTAACGGTAAATATTGGGACTGTAAAGCTAAACAAAACTGGTCAGACTGTCCGCATATATTCTTGTGATAAATTGTGATAGAATTATCCAGTACTAGGACATAATATTATTATATAATAAACTTTCACTGGAAGAAAGTGGCTTCCATAGAATGGTGATTTTAAGACTTGATAATCATGGATTCTAATGCAGTGATTACTGAATACAAAAGCATTGGATGGAATGGTATTTACAGAGAAGAATGGTGTACTTATTTGAGGGTTATTTGTTGTCTGTTTTGATGTGAAGATTGCAATGTCTAAGATAGTATATCTATAGTTATTTTGGTGACTTTGGGTCTAGTTTATCTAACATATCCATCTTATCATATATTGGCATAAAGTGAAATCAAAATCATTTCCCATAGAATAATTGAATTTGGAAGTATATATAAAGATTTTCATATTGATGTATGTATGAAGGCACGTAATGGAATATTGTCAGTGCAATGTGATAAATAAAGGAGAATCTTCAACAATATAAAAGCTGATGTCTCATTGGTGGATATTTGAAACTGTGCAATCATTTTGACCTATCTGTTTATATATAAAGTAAGAAGAACTGTGATTGGTTTAAATTAGTTCCTATGAATTCTTTTTTGTTTCCTATTTGTTATGTTAAAGATATTTTAATTTAGAATTTTATAATAATTTTGTCTAATATCTTTTCTAAGTTATTTCTGGTGAGAGTTTATTTAGTAGTCTTGATAGTTTTATAAATAATTTATTACAATGATAAACATATTATCATCATCTTCTAAAATAATCCCTTTGACACCTGTTTCACAACATTGTACACTTCTTGGTTATGTGAGATATTTTTCAGAGTTCTGTATCATGCCAATGCTGTATCTAAATATGAACTATGGAGTTTTTATATTTTATTTTAGATGTAAGAATAAGAATTTTTTTCTGTAGACTACCAAATTTTTGGACACAAAATTTTGAAATATTCACAGCATAGATCATAGATTATTTTGAATGTGTTCGATGAAGCCTTATTTTAGTATCAATAGTTTATATGTTTTCACTGGTCATTCCCCATGAATATGAGTTTTAAGATTGTACTGATCAATGTGTAACTATATGATATATATAAAAGAATTAGTCTCTCCACCTTTTAGAACATTTGTCCTTCAACTTGCCATATTTTGTATAATTTTAGTTTTATTATTATAATTGAACAAGGAATTTAGATAAAATAGTAGATTAACCAGTAACATTACTTTCAGTGTCAAATTAGAATAATATAAAACTCACTTCATTATGATACATTATTTACCAATATTATTCTGTTTTATTAGTTTATTTTGGTGTAAAAGGGTAGCATTTATGTAATTTTATTTTTTATCTAAATTATGTAATTGAAATCAGGCCGACCAATTTTTTTTACTGTTAATGTTACTTTAGGGGTACTTGATTGGTGAGTCCTGCACGTTCAGGATTGAAGGAAATCATCTGGAAGATCAATAACATAGGTTGGAACAGGGTTCAGAATGTGTGAAGGAGGTGAAGACATAGTTCAATATGGTGCAGAAAGAAATCTAAGGGAATATTTTGAATATGACCTATCCAGTTCCTTACTATTTGATTGAGGCCATAATTGGAACAGACAGAACCTGTTGAGAACTCAACAATCAAATGGCACCCTTTTTTATAACTGATGGTAATATGTGAATACTTTGGTCATTATGATGGTTGTTTTTATGACTTCTTGTTGAACAAGTGTAAGCTATGAAGTCTTCGAATGTATTCAATATGGTCAGAGGTTATATTGTAACTGACCTTATTAATGATTTAGTTGAAGTTTCAGATAATGATTTGAATTGATTCTTACTGATATATAACCTGTCAATAATACTTATTGTAACGTGATTATATTTTGTTAGTATGATTATTTTGCTTAACAGTATGAAAGACTGGTACTGGGTTCATTCACATTTAGTCTGTGTTATGCTTCTCCATTCAACCTTGTGTTCAGCTGTATGCTTTCTTAGAAATGATAATATTTGTTGGTTATCTACTGGTATGGTAATATCATCCAAGATGCAATGCTGGTTGCAAACAATCAAGCTAAGCGCTTATCTTGGTTTTCTACCCTACTGCTTTCTGTGACTAATCTTCCTGCACATTTCTTGAACACCATCATTTCATGTTGCACATTTTGATTTTCTTTTAGAATGTTGCTATTATATTTCAATGGTGTGTCCACTTTATAAAATATGAAAGCTTTATGACAGTCCCTCTATAATTATTATTTTAACAATGTTATTATATCATTATACTATGCAATTTTGTAGATTTATTCAAGTGCTTCTTTCTGTTAAAACATTTTCTATTGTGCAGATAATTTTGCTTTTTTTTATCTGATAAAGAAACCGCTTAAGATATTTTGCTTGATATTTTTCTGCATGTACTTCACTCAAGTCACGTATGAATTCAAGAAAATGTCTAATATAAGATTGGCCTTTGATGTTATGAATGTCTTTGACACATCCGTATGGACAGCGTTTACTTGGGCATGCTGATCAAGGGTAAGGTGAATATTCTGTAAGACCCTTGATACCTTTAATGTTTGTATGTAATTTGAAAACATTTTGGACTAAATTACTGTATGCATTTTTTCAGGTAACTTATAATAAGTGACATATTTGTGGTATTACTGTATCAAGTATTAGATATTGAATAGGTTCACCGATCCTTGGTATATCTAGATGATCTTGACTCAGAAATAGCAGGACGTGATTGAGTCTTGAATTACAAAAATTGTTTAATATCTGAAATTACTAGCTTAAATGCTTGTGTGAAAAATATTCACTTGAACAGCTTTGATCAAGACTGACCTTTCTTGATAATTATGAAATGAAAGTAGAATATGTTAGAATTGACTGTAGGTATATAAGTTTTAAATCAAATTGTTGATAATTCGTGTATAAAATCTGTAAATGATATGATTTGTTAAAAATGAATTTGTTTTTGCATGAAGTTTGTTATCATTTGAACCAACACCCTTTCCTACAAAATAAAAAAAAGTGATACGTGTGTAGCATATCTGTATGCATGGGGAGCATCAAATAGCCTCTGTTCCTTGCAAATTAAGTGAGTCAGTACAAATCACAGAGCAGAATCCAACTCATAAAAATATCAGTTATTCACATGATACCCTTTATTCTCTTATAAAGATTAGAACCATGAAACTTTTTGAGAGTTTGGACATTAATCTATGAATGAGGCTGGAAGTAATTGGCTATCCAAGCTATGACCCTAAGGTATAATACTCCTAATCTTATGTTCTGACAAAGATGGGAATAGAAAATTTTTGTTAACAACAATCAAGTGTTAGGCGTTTGTGGTCTAAGGGAGATAACTCAGCAACATTTCGTAAGTTACTAAATTTAGTAACAAACAACATGGCTCCTGTTAAGAGCATTTATTTTTAACAGTTGACTAAGATGGATTTGTTTGTAGTTAAAACCAAAAGGAAACGTGCTGACAGTCAATCGGAATCGTCAGGATCTAAAAAGTTTAAATCTTATGAAAAATCAGAATGTAATGTCATAGACTTTAAAAAATTCAGGCTTGAAAATCTATCTTGTGACTATGGGATTCTCTATTCAAAAAGAGAAGCTGACAATCTTCTAAAAGAGTGTGAGAAAATTCTGTGTTATAATGAAGGAAAATTGGCAAAAATTTGTCTCTTTGGTAAATGGCACAACATTCCACGGAAACAGGTAGGATTTCATCTGGTGAACATTTTAATATTAAAAGTTTCTCCTTCATTCAGAACTGTTCATAAAATTGTTGATCCCCCATACATTTTGCATTGAACGACGGCAAAGATAATACACTTTCCCATTGTTTTATGTTTGGATTAAAGGACAAATAGGAGCTTTTTTCACTTAGAAGCATATTGCTTTCTGCAGGTAACCTAACATATTGGCTTGATTCGATTTTATTTTTTAGAAACTTGTGCTATAGTGGCAGTAGGCTATGTCTAGATTAATGTGTTCTGTAATCTTAACCTTTACCCTATAGAAAGTTGAAACTGGATTTTGGTTGTAATTAACTCAATCACAAGTTTTTTTTTTCTCAAAAATATTGTGTCATATTGAATAATTTCTATTTCAGGTTGCTCATGGAGATGAAGGTTTGTCTTACAAATTTTCAGGAAACTCAATTCCTGCCCGGCCATGGTTACCATTATTAGAGAATATCCGAGATGATATTACCAGACAGACTGGCTACAAATTTAACTTTGTTTTAATAAATAGGTACTTGATAGGCCTCTAATATATATCTTCCTAGCTTAGTAGGATTTTTCAAGATAGTGGTGGGCTCAGAGTGTGACAGACCAAAATGACTGATATTTGACAAGTACTAAACATTACTCAACTGAAGACTTTGGGAATTTAAGTCAAGCAACCACTTTCAATCTTATATTATGTAGAAAGCAAATCGTAAAGGTTACCACAACCCCTATACAGTATACAGTTGCATAGTTTATTTTACTCTTGAAAAAGAAATAAAATGAATTTAGTCTTTTTTAAACTTATCTCTCAAATGCAAGGGCTTGATCCACAGATTAAAAAACCTGCCTTGTGTTGAGAGGTTATTACTGAATTTGAATACATGTACAACATCAAAGAAATACTATTAGGTTTATATGAACAATATGTGACTGGCTAGAGACTGATGTGTGATAAATGAATGATAGAATTCTGAATAAACATATATTTTAGGTATAAAGATGGCAGTGATTATATGGGAGAACATAAAGATGATGAAAAAGATCTAGAAGCAGATCATCCTATAGCCTCATTGAGTTTAGGTCAAGCTAGAGATTTTATTTTTAAACATCAAGACAGTCGAGGAAAGAACTCAACTAGACGTGATATTCCACCATTAAAACTGGTACTTCAACATGGTGGATTATTAATGATGAACTATCCAACTAATTCTTACTGGTACCATTCCTTACCGTGTCGGAAAAAACTTTTTAATGTTAGGATTAATATGACATTTCGTAAAATGGTGGTAAAATAACTGAACAAATTTTATTCATTACAAAATAGTTCTGTTTTAACATTTGAATATATTATATTATTGGATAAAACAAAGGAAACTTATACAAAACAATGTGCATGAAGCTTCTGAAATGACGTTCGCTTTAAACATTACTCAATTGAATGTGATATCAATCAGAGAAAACCAACAAATGTCTAAAGGTTGTGATGATCTTATTCACTTATAAAAGAAATGACAATATAAGTTACTTAATCAGGCATTTAGTCAACCTTGACTATTTGACAGGGCTAGTAATATATGTAAAGGGGCAATGGAGCATGATGTTAAGTTGCAGTAGCTGTATTTAATCGGCACTAGCAGATAAGATCTTTACCATTAACTCTCTATAACAATTGCATTACATGTGTTCTATATTTCTTAAATATTAGTATAATTTCCTTTCAGAATTAATATTGTGATAATTTTTCTTTTCTATTTCTTTGAACTCACTAAAGTAAGTCTTATTATATAAAAATTAAATCTTGTGATTATGGTCTATTTTTGTAACCTGGCCTATATTTAGTGGTATTCAAATGTAACTGTCACTCACTCGATGTTTTATCACATTTTCATTTTGATCACTTATAAATCAAGATGCAAGCTGAAAGGTTGAGTACCATTGTACATTACTCATTCAAATTATTCAATTAAATTAAAGTCTAACCACCACATCTTTACTTTAATGAAAAAGATCAGTATCCATCATCTTGAGGATTAAAGGTGCCCACACACCATAGAAATTATCAGTTGCTGGATGTTGAGGATCCGCCATTTTGTCTTCTTTCATAGCAGTAAACGGAATGTTTTCTGCACAAAAACAACAACAATCTGTCAACATTTGTATTTGATCTAGGTAAAATATTTATTAAGACACATACACACAACTACACCCCTGTAGCTTCTTTTTAATTAGATCAGATTACAATTTTTCTTTTTCGTTTTCTGATATTTTCAGTTTATTTTTTAATCTAAATATCTGACAATGTAGACTAAAAGAATCAGAAATAAAGAAAGATATGAAATTATAATCTTATTTTAAATAGATTGATTTTGAACATGATTGGCAATCTGAAAACACTGTACTACATAGTCGGGAGTAGAGATGGTATCGATTATCAAATTGAGATCAATTATCGATGGCAGACTATCGGTCAATAATCAAAGTATTTTAAATGAGATACCCTGTAAATACTCAATTAAAAACGTGCCAAATTTCATGGGTGGTTACTTTTGTGTCATAGAAATTTCGATTTTATCAATTATCAAATTTCATAATCGATTATATGTCAAAATTTCCCTTCAGCACGTAACATACTCACAAACAATACTTTGACATATAATCGATTATCAAATTCGTAGCGACGATAATCGATTATTTTGATTATTATAAGTATATACCAGTAATACATGTACGGTACTATTATTTTCTTCTTCTTGAAGTAATCTCACTAAAAGACGAATCAAGTGACTTTTTTTTCATGTTTTTTCTGTGGAGGACTCTACTAATCTTTCCACTATCTGAATAAATATTTCACGATTGGGATTTTTAATTGTTTTTAAACATTGACTTTAATTGTCAGCCAGCCATATCATGACAATCTTTGAAACTATTGGCTGAAAAATTAAATGAACACGATTCAAAGATAAATTTTGTCAGATCATGTTAAGAAGTGTAATTAACCACAGAAAAACACAAAACGAAGCACCTTGATCTACTTTTAATCGTATCCTACAGTTTAAACCACCAAAGACAGCAGCACTAAGATGAGTCTGTTGAGTTGTCTAGATAACTATAGAGATGGGATAGTTTACACTGAACAAAGTCATCACTTAATTCTCTACTACAGATATTAGTCCAACCATTTTTATGAGCTTTCTGCAAGCGTCTTTTAAATTTAGTAGGTTGAAAACCTTGAAAGTCTATCACTCTACGTAACTTTTTCTTGCTTACAAATTGTTTAGACTTATTTGGAGATTCATAAATAGTCTCCCAAGTCTTTTCCAAAGGTGCCATATAGTTTTTATTTAGATACAGCTCCTCTAGATTTTCATCTTCTTGTGGCCTGAATCTTTCACTAGGCAAATACCATTCTGGATGTTCATTTTCATGTGCGACTCCAGCCTGATAGATTTCTAATGATTTTCGTCTATTTCGCCTTGATTTACGCAAACCAGACTCATCTGTAGTAGTACATGATTCATCAAGACTTGCATTTAATTCTGATGAGAAATCTGCCGATTTACGTTTAGATCTACGTTTAGTAACATTAGTAACTGTGTTATTGTCAATACTTTCAACTAAACTTTTCATGCTGAAATTATCATCTATAGCAGTATCTGCTATAAGCTTATCAACATTTTCACTTGGTGCAGTATCAAGTGGCACATCTTCTAGTTGTTTCAAAAGTAGTGTATTGCAGTTTAGTTCATCATCTAAAGGTAATGGTTCTTCTTCTGTTTCAATCACACCCTGATTCAACTCTTCTTCAATGACTTCCATATTTTCATCCAAAATTTCATCTCCTTCTAAGATTTCTTCTAGTTTCTTTTCCTCATTTACAGAATATTCTAAATTATCTCGTCCTAAGAATAATTCTTCACATTTCTTTTCTTCAATTCTTGCTTTTGTGTCTATCAAAAAACCTTCAATGTAAGAATCGGAATAGGTCTTTTCTGAAATCGTTTCTTTTTTGGGTTTCTTAGGAGTTTTTGGTTTGCCAGTAGTACCTTTGGAGATTCTACGAACTATGGAATTGAACAAGCCCATAGCCCCAGATGCTAAGCTATCTAAACTTTCGACTAGAGTGGGGGAAATATTGAACCCATTTCTTTGGTCTTCATTTTCCTTATTTTCTGAGTTGTCCTCAAGAATAGCTCTAGGGTCTGGTGATTCATCCAGTCCATTCTTTGGTGTATCTAACATGGGGTCAACTGTGGTGTCATCATTTAAATTAGTTTCTGTAGCACTAGAGTTAACAGGTGTTGTTTCTGTGTATTGAGAATTTACTTCAGTGTCCAAGTCAGGTGTAGTTGCAGTCAAACTGCCAGATGTAATCGGTGTCAAACTAGGTGTATAAACATCTTGTAATGGAGAGTCTAAAATGTCAAAGTCTACATCTGGAGTGACTGGATAAACTTTCTTAGCTGATGTATTCAACTCTGCAATAATTGGAGTAGTCAGTTCACCTACGAAGGCCATATCCAGGTTATTGACAGAAGTGAAACTGTTGCTAGGGGTGACAAGAAGTGGTGAAGATTTTCCATCAAATTTGATCAATTCTGGACTAATGGAGGGGTATACTGGGGAATTCACTGGAATTTCATGTCTCATTATTTCAACAGGGGAGCATGAATCTATTTTCAACAATGGTTTCTGAAACAAAACACTTGATCTTCGTTTTTTACGCTTCTCTTTCAAACTTTCTTCATTGGATTCCACCCAAACTGTACCAAAGATATCATCAACTTCTCCCTGATCATTGAGACTCATCATCAAGGTGTCGTTAGCCAAGGTGGCATCATTATCATCACCAAAAGAACTGATGGATTGCCTTCGAAGATTTCTTATTGATCTTCTCCTCTTTTTTCTTTCCATATCTGAAATATTTAAACAAAATATTGTTTAAATACTAAAAGCAATAAATTAAATCATTTGAAACATTTTGAAGAATTGTCCTTGGCCTACTGCCTGAACAAAAAGAAAAGCAGGTTAGATCTAGACTACACTGTCGTTACTGTCTAACTACATTGAGCTCTGAATTGAAAAAAATATCTACATCCACTGCCAAAATCGCGTAAGATACATTCCGCGATTTCCTCATCGATTACAAAATTTTCCACGACCATGGCCAGGGGGAGACTAGCTATGCCCCCCATCGCCGCAGTACCCACTTAAATCTAAAAGAGAGCCGAGGTGCTCGGATGAAATATCCAATGCGTATCTTTCATTAATTAAGATGTGTGTGGCAAGATACTTACTGAATCACAAATTATTTCAGAGGAAAATTTAAAGAAATCTTCCTTTTTAGAAGTCGCGCTGTGTTGCTTTCAAACCTACTTCCGATTGACTTCACCAATGAAATCGCGTTAAATGATAAATAGATTACTGCGCATGTACAAGGAAACAAGATGTCTGCGCCCATGGATTGGGTTTGTTTTGTGGCAAACATTTGAAAAAATTAAACTAAGCTTAACATGAGGCCTGTGTTATTCAGGGAAAGATATGGATCTTCTCTTGTAAAGAAAGAATATTCTACAAATGTCGATGGAACCGTGGATATAGATGACAAATCTCCTAAACTGACCTCTGTGTCAAATTTCTTTCGAGTAAGTCAGTGGTGTCTGTAATCTGCCAACTCTGACTAGTTCCTGACATAATATTAAAAAAAACTGAAAATACTGTAATTGCCACTAATCTGATCAGTTCAGTTCATTACTGAATTTATACATGAGATATACATTTCTGCTCCTAAATGATCTTATGATCAAACATTAGATATACTTAAATAATATGATTAATAAGTGGACATGAACCCATTTTATTTAATCATTTGTCAAGACATAGGGCCATAGGCAATAACAAAGAGGGATCTATACGATGCACAGCCTTATTCAACTAAGGCCTAAGATTATTGTACAATCAGAACTACTAGATGAGACTTGAAGTCCTAGGAAGTGGTAAAAAAATCTATCATCATCATGTTTCAATACCGGGGAATATTAAACACATGGTGTCATTGTTTATAGTTGATAATAAAAACAAAGTGATCAAATAATGGCTTTCTTCATGAAGAGTAATAGTATCTGTTTTTTTTTTTTATATTCTAGTCAGTATTTTTACCACAAGGGTATCCAGAAAGTGTGAGCAGTGACTATTTCATCTATCAGTTATGGGACACCATTCAGGTAAAGTATAAAGGCCTATGAGTAAAATTACAAAAAAAACTGTATATAATGAATATATTACAGTCAAGTAACCTAATTTCGTGCTAACTTATTTTTCGTGCATTTCTAGAAATGATTAATAATTTACATGTGAGGCATCTCGTGACCTCCGCATTTGCTTGTTTTGATAAACATGGGTTGTTTGCACATTGTCAGCTAGCAGAATGAATCCAGTTGTTTCAAGCAAGGTAAAATGTATTAATGTATACTTTGACAAATACAAAATGGCGGATTTCAGTTATTACCCAACGTCATAAGTTTTTATCGGCAGAATTTCCTTATAATCCCTAGAAATGTCGTCTGCTAAAAATTCTATGGAACACAATGTGGGCCATATTCTTATGTAGTTTCAATGACTTTTAGCAATAAATCACGCTACGTATCTTATCTTATCTTGTCAGTCACTATTTTTTTTTTAAATCATGGTTCTTTGAAGGAATTGTCATGAATTATTATTAAAGATAAATACTAAGAGAAGTTAATTATACCACTGGGTATCCATACAACATGTTTTTCTCGTCTTATTTATAGATCAAACATTGTACACGAAAATAGGTCACGCAACTTGCCAGAATCTAAGTTTCAGCCATGCTTTATTCAATCTCTAAGGTCTTACATCATGCCTTCAACTCACAAAAGTACATATCCTGTCACATGACAAACATCTACCTTAAGAGCAGACAACTCTGTTTTACTGAGAAGGAAAATATGGGAGATAACTCTTACTTAACAATGATTGTTAAGACCACAATATGAACTAATGATATCAATATGACATTATAAACTAATTGGAACTTATACTTGTGGACATATTATATCATAAGGGTATAATTCAATGTAAAGGGATAGATGAGCCATTTTGGGGAGTTGATTTGAGTCTTGAACAAATAGTAAATAGTCTTTAGGTCGCAAAATTCCTTCAAATAAACCAGGTTTATTCTCCTATTTCTATACATCATCTATATGAACTGTGAACACTATTACTGATTGGCTTAGCTTAAAAAAATTCCCATTTCTGAAACTAAGGTACGATTGCTTAAAAAAAAATTGCATCTGACCCTTTAAAATTTCAATGTTTAGTTAGTAACATCCTTCGATAATTTTCTTATTTTCTTTTCTGTATCAGATGGAACGGGAATGATAGGAAGAATTGGTTTTGCATGGCTCAAAGGGTGAGAAAATTACAAAAAAAATTATTTTTCCATAAATAAACAAAAAGATCCATATCATGATTTCTATTAAAAACTCTCAAGGTATTGGTGTGATGCTGGCAGTGACTCCATGTTTGTAGCAAACGGCCTGGCCACGTATTCTCGAAACAATCTTAGCGCTAGGATGTCCTAGGGTCTTATCTTCTAACATTGATTCTAGGACACCCTCCAATTTTTTATTTTAGTGATCTAATGCCATAATGAATTATTCTGATGGAAATTCTTATTCTTTCTTTCTAGGAGTAATTTAGACTGTGATGCCAAAAGATGGAGATTATTTGCTGACATTTTGAATGATTTTGCAATATTTTTAGAAATTCTGGCTCCAAATTTTAAACCCTTTTTCACACCAATTGTGTGTACAGCTGGGGTATGCAAGGTGCATATTTTTTCTATTTTGAGCAGTTTTATTCAAGGCTTTGTAGCTTCTCAAAGAGGAAGATTTACCTTGCAGATCTTGTTTTTAGTGATTAATTAAATAATTAAAGGCATTTTAAATATTTTTAGCTGGTAGACCACAATTCTAATATTAGTTTGGTAAAAAGTGGTCCAGTAAAGTTTTCAGGCATAATTATTGAATATTAGAAGCTAGGGGTTGCCCGTTTCTGCTGAAATGAATTTGTTCTTTTGTATGTGTTATTTTATAGTCAATTGTTGGAGTGGCAGGTGGAGCCACTAGAGCAGCCTTAACTCAACACCAGGCACGCAGAAACAATATGGCTGATGTGTCAGCAAAAGATGGCAGTCAAGAAACCTTAGTGAATCTAGCAGCATTAGTTTGTAGTCTTATTCTGGTTCCTATGGTTACAGGAAAAGATTTGTAGGTATTTAATCATGATTATGTTATAATTTTATTTTCCTGTTTAGAAACTATGCAGTGTACTTCTCAAATATTTTGAATTTAACAGGAAACTTGTGACTTCTGCTTTGTGGCTATTCTAAGTTGTCATTTTAAAATTAAATGTTAAAATAAATCAAAATTGGGTTGTTATTCTTTTCAGGATTATATGGACATTGTTTATTTTGTTTACATTCCTTCATCTTTTTGCAAATTATTCTGCTGTCACCAATGTTGTCATGGAAACATTAAACCAGAATCGTTTACATTTCTTAGTGAAGTCATACCTGCATCATGGAATTATCGAAAATACTCAATCAGTCAATTATAAAGAACCAGTGTTATGGAGTAAGTTTCATCTATTGAAATAGTTAAAATTTGATATTCACAAATAGATTATCAAAAATAAAATCTTAATGAAAAAATTATTTGAAGGCTTTGTAACCTAGTGGGGTAAGAGGGCTACTTGTAATGTATGTTAGAAATATAGTTTCAGGAATATTTTGATAGAGTGTAAGAGTGGTATACATGATTATTTGGTATGATCACTTGTCTCTTTCTAGGTAGTATCGTCTGTAATACTTCAAATCTACATCTATTTTAAGGTTTACGCCGGAAATTTCAAGTCAGATTAGGTGTATCAGTGGGAAAAATTTGCAAAACGTGAGTATAATTCTTTGACCATTTTTTTTTAACATATTAAACCTAGTCAATCTATCTTGAAATATTATATGTTATTGGAAATGTTTGGTTTTTAAAAGTCTACTACTAATTTTGTTAAAAGCTGTAAAATTTAGTATTGTTATTTTGTTATGCAGTCTTTCCTTTTATATTTTTTTCTAGATATAAAGATATACAACTAATGGAAAGCTTATATAAAAATACATATTATATGTTAGGATTAAATTTACAAAAAGGTAAGCAGCACTGATGAAAAACTAACATGGGCAACTTTAACAGAAATATATCAGATTGAAATAGATCCTTTAAATCTCGATCGGGAGCCGCGGTGGCTCAGTGAGTTAGACGCTTGCTCGCTAACCTGAAGGTCCAGGGTTCAATCCTGGCATAGGTCGAGATAATACCTTCGGATTTTTCAACCCGGTTTCCCCCTGTCAGTGATGCAGGTAAGAGGGGCTGACATGGAAAAAGCGTCTAGTCGTTCGGATGGGACAAAAAACCGAGGCCTCATGTGCTACAGGCTGTGCACGTTAAAGATCCCTCGACAGTTGGAAATCGAAAAAGAGCAGGCTAATGCCGCTGTCCTGGCAAAATTTCCCTCATGGCAACCTGCATGGCGTTGCCCGTCTTCATTAGCCCACAAGGTGCGGAAGAGTAGGACGTAAAACTCCATTCATTTCATTTCATTTTAAATCTCGATACAACAACTTAAATATACATTATATAAGCTGATACTGTTGTTGTCAGAAACAATCTTCATTGCCCCTTAAATCATGTTTTCTATCTCCAACAGTTGCACAATAGCACCAAAATCTCTTTGATTTCCCATTTGTGTAACAAGAACAAAGTCCTGAAAAATTCAGGAAGGAAAATTTTACATGGCTGTTTTGATCTTACTTATATTCAGATCTCTTTTCAATTCAAGGTGAAATAAATATAGTATTAAATGAGAATTCTACACAACAAGATCAACTAGAAGCTTGCTATCATGCTGAAGTTTTAGAAGTTATTTATAGTTTAAAAACTACAGACATTCAGGTAGGAAATATTCTACAGCTGTATCAAGTTATCTTAGTTTTAATATTGTCATTGTCATAGAAAAATAAAAAACTTACTAACATTGAAACAAAATTGAAATCTGTAATGTTACAATAGTCAATTTGAGAAATGAAATTAAATCAGCATTTTTACTCACTATACATATTTAAGTAGCTTATATTTTTTTTATTCTAAATTATGACTTATTGTCTCTACTAAACTGTCCTGCAGTAAATGGCACTTTCTTGGAAATGAGGCAGTTTTTCTTATTTTTCACCTGTAACGTGTTTCTTTTCCAGATAAAACAATATGAATTTAAAGATATAATAGATGGATTTGATGAAGGTATGTAACTATGTTGAAAACAATAATGGGAGTGAATTTTCTTTTTACTTTGATTATTAAAGGGAGATAATTCACTGAATGATGGCACTCAATCAATGAGTTCTGAACAGTTTTAGTCTTTTCTAATTCTAGGCTTTTATTGTTTGATACATGTCACTTTCAATATTTACATTTCTTTTCCTTTTTCCATTTTGAACTGTACAAATTCTTTTTTAGGAGACGTGAAACACGTTATGAACCCATTTCCAATTTCTGTTTTTGAATTAAAAGTTGATTCCATGAATCCTGTGGGAGCAGAACTCACAATCTAGCTCCCCCACAAATTCTGTTCACCTTTTATCTCTTGATTTTTATTTCATTTATTAGTGAATAAAGGGTCTTTTTTCATTCCAGAAAATCTACACAAAATATTACAGCAATCTCTAGTGTTAGTAAGAAGAAGTTTTAAAGGTTTTATTGAGAATTTAAACAATGAGAATTGGAGGACAGATATAGCTCTACTGTGCGCTGATGAATGGAGAGCTAGGTGGGATTATAATGGACTCTCAGATAAAACTGACTGATTATAAAATTGATTTAAAATCATCATTGTGGAGGGTTTTTTTCTTTTGCGGGCGTAAAGATAGATTATTGAGTGTCATGGATGTAATATTTATTTTTGTAAAACACCAGATATCACTCAACTCATGGATACTAGAACATGAACAAGTATTGTATATTAGAGCAAGGATATCTTTTAACATCATTGTCAATTAAAAAAATTAACATGAAAATCCACTGTATTTAGAGGTAGGTATGATAAGTAGTTTTTAATACTATACAAGTGTGATTTAAGTAGTGCTTATTACTTCTTATTCTACCTGAAATTATAATAGACTGTTCTTGTTCATGTTTTGAATCAGACTCGAAAGTGCAAAAATATCTTAACTGGATTTATCACCCAAAGAGTTTTTTTCTCTCAATTTCTTGGGAGTGGTTTTGTTAATGATAAGGGAGGTAATTCATATTTTTACTTTGGAGACTAAAGATAAATTTTGCCAATTTTTTTTTTATTTCTATTGCTTCCAGTAACATATTCTGTTGTATCTCAACATTTGAAATATTTCATCCAGCCAGAATTTCTAATCATGCTTTTGAAACAGGATTATGAACCTCTGAGAGGCATTGTTAAATTATTTTAAATGATTGTTGAATTTCTTTGTTCTTGTGATTTGTACTGTGGGAAAGGGAACATTATGAAATATTTTATTAAAAAGACTGAAAATGTCATGTGTTTTATCTTTTATTTTGCAATCAATAGATGTCAGTAATAATTATGAAATCAACTGAGAGACTAAAATAGAAACTTTTCTTTTGAATGTTTCCTTATTGGTTATCAAAGTCAAAACTTTTTGATTCAAGTTTAGACTAAGGCTGTAGATCATGCAAACATGAAAACTCTTTCATGAATTACATAATAAACCATTATCCAACTATTTGTGATTTCTTTTAGATGCTTATAAAAAACAAAGAGGCACTGAAGAAATTCTAACAGATGTTGGATACTTTTTCCAAACTATGAAAATCTTACAAGGAATGACAAACTTTTGTCAGATTTATATGTTGAGAAAAATGAAACAGGTAGCTGATGGTTTAGTTAAAATGCAAAAGGCCTGTATTGCCCTAACGCCCATTATACCCATTTGTGTTAATACCTTTGATCCTAGATCAAGAGATAATCCTGGATTATCTGATTCTCAAGGCTAATAATTTGAGGTAACTAAGATATCTGTATAAGGATTGCTTGTTATTGTCCCTAAACAATAGCCTAAGATATTTGAGAATTTGGTCATTTCTTGTTGTGTATGTTGGATTATATGTTTAAATTTTTGTGTTTTTTGGGGATTTTGTGATAATATTTGAGAGAAAGGAGTACTGAGATTTTTACTTTCATTTTTGGACATGAAAATGCCAGAAAATGGTGATCAAAGGAAAAACTCATTTTTAACTGAGAAAATAAAAAGGCGTCCATTTTCTATGAGTGTAATTCCACGCCTTAATAACAATGAAACAGATATTCCAACTCCTAGATCTGTATCTTCATTACAACATACTCCCCGTAGAAGATTATCTAAAAGACACAACAGTCTGTCAAGATTACCAATACTCAATTCAAGTGCTTTAAGACAAAAGTAAGCCATTTTATTTTTATTTAAAGTACTGTGGAGATTTGCTACCGTTTTGGTGAAGAAATTATCTGTTTTTTTATGTTAAATTTCGGCTTAGAGTTTTGTGTTAACAATATAGATGTTGTCTCCTCAAATACCCTGTACACCAATTTGACTGTTCACCATTGACTGTACTGTAGCTTTTAACTCGTGTTCATTACTGAATTTTGAAAAAATTGAAAAATTTTACTAACAGCACTTCCATCCAGCATCTGGAACAATGCTATTTTTTTAACAAGGTCCTGGCTGTTTAAACTTTGACTTCAGTGTCAACTGTATTGTTGAGGTAATTTTTTGTAAACACTCACAAACCTGAAGGAAAAGTCAAATCGATTTGCACTTACTACAGAAGTACAAAATTTGTTTACTTGCAAGCAGACTTCAAAATGCAGCATTGCATTTGCTGTGATTTGTTAGTTTGTAAAACTAACTCACAACATATATCAAAAGTTGACTTTTCTTGATTACAAATCATCATTGCAATTAACACTAAGCTTTGTAACATTCAGAGTTTTTAATTCTTCTGATCTTATACTTAGAAGTAATAATTGATTAAAAATAGATGAATTGTTTTCAACCATCCTGCTTTTGTTAGTTTAAAGATGTTGATTAGGATCTTAACTATTGTCAGTGTTCCTTTCATTTAATTATTAATAACACTGTTAATTACTGCTCAGTTTGGTTGCTATCCACCATCTTGGATTTGGACCCTAGTAAGTTTGATGTTTATTGCTATCTGTCACGGTATATTTAATATTAGTATTTTAGTTGTTATTGACTCTAGACTGGACTTCACACATCATTAATATATGAATTGGGTAACTAAATTACTCTTACTTACAATTATTTATACCTTTCTCCAAATACAAACATTTTATTGATACATGTAATTGTTAAATATAGCAAATCAATAATATCTCAATCATATTATTTGTACAAACCTGAAATAATATAAAAGTGTGCTGCCAAGTTTAGGGTTCCTTTTCCCATATGCAAAGAGATTTACAAATTATTTTGGATTTCCAAGGATCAGAAAAACGTCATGTGAAGCAATGTTCCCTAATCTACATTATAATGCACTCTCTTGTAGGCTGAAAGTCATTTTAAAGTGTTGTCAGAAACTATGCTATGGTTCCTGAAATTTCACTAAACCTCAGTGTTTTATAACGTCCATATCACAGAGGCTTTTAGATATCATTATCAGCCTTGGCAATAGTGACGTCATAAAATAGTTAGTTTTAGTAGAATTGCAAGAACCACCAACATCTGACTTAAAGTTGAAATAGTGTAAATCAATGCTGTCAATGTTCCTAATACATATATAGATTGCTTGCCAGGCAAGATAATATACACCCTGACTTACAGTTTAATTCTCAGAGTGACAGTAAAAATAATAGATTTCATTTAAAATAGTGTTTCTGTAAATTCTGTTAAACTATTAGAATTTTTTTGGAAATTAGACCAAATTAATCCTAAAATAATAATAAATGGTCAACTAATTAGAAATTTTAGAAAAGGTTGCATTATCTATGGGAATGGTTCTATCTGAATGAATAAAGCCATGGTATGTTTGACTATCAATTCACTTAATTAAATAACAATAATAGAGAATTGAATAAAGTTATTTATTTTCTTAAAATGACAGAAATATAAATAAATATAATAAAATTTACATAGAATTACATAATAACTGACATAAATTAACAAGATAAATTTTTTCTATCACAAAATGTTGCTTTTTACAGATTTGGAAATGTGTTAATATCTGTGATACTAATCAATTCACTCATGTTCAATAATATGGTTATTCTAATCTGATTTCTTCAAAAAATTATAGGTTCATATCAATATTCAATTTTTTGTCATAAATGCTTATGAAAATTTTATTTTGTTTCAAATTGAAGTGCATTATATCTGATGATGTCATTTAGTTGTATAAAACAGTCTTTCTATAAATGTAAATGTAGAGTAAATGTAAAAGAGATTTTGATGTGTTTGTGTGATAGGTTTTACTTTGTTTGATAGGTTTTAGTCAGGACAATATGTAATACAGTGATATATTTGATTACCTTTTTATCATTATGAGCTTCTAATAGTATTCATTATTAAAGCTACACTATGTCAGAAACCATTCTGACTACACTACCATTGTGCCATGAACACTTCTCTGTAACTTTAAGCATGTATGTTAGATTTTTTAGTTTTGCTTTACGGCTAAAAGACAATTTTTATGAAATCAGAATAAAAAGCTAGAATCTTAATCATTCCACAATATACTTGTTGTAACATGATTTGTATTTTTTCTATCAAAATTAAAATTAAAGATTTGTCATACGGATTTTTGTAGCTTAGTCTTTTACATTTTATTGATTTGAGTTACAATCTTTTAGAACTTTTCATGTGAGATTATTATATCTAAATTCTATAAAACCTAAAATAAATCTAGTTTTGTATACAGTAGCTTTAATAGACTGTGTATTCTCCTCTATGATATTAAACCAAAAAGCAATTAGTAAGTCTATTATTCTATTAATTAGAACAGATTTACTAATTATCTCCCTTTTAATCAGAATCATGGAATTGTCAGGAAAATAAAATATCAGAACTCTTGGATAATATTTGTATTTGCAGAAATATTTATATTAATGGTTTTGGAAAAGAAAATATGTATGTAGAATTATTTTCCAAGTATTTTCTAATGTCATAGGTTATTATTTGAATTATTACAATTAAATTCTGATGACTCTTTAGAATTTTGCATTAGTAAAGATTAACATGTATAAAATTGTTTATATAACATGTTGTAGGAGACTATTTGTTTACTGGCAATATAGATCTGATGTCTGTAATATTCAAATTTAAAACATAAATATGTCCTCATAATGACAGTGTGTACCAATATATGGAAAATTTTCAAAATATCATAATTGTCATCATAGTTGGATTTCAGGCTAAAAGTGGAACATTTTTGAAAATCAAACAGAATAAATTTCATGAAACAAAACTGTTACTCTTACTCAGTTATGATGTTATAATGTTAAAACTAAAAATGAAACATATTCTCTTAAACCTTAGTAAGTTACTCAAACTCATTTGATCATACAGAGATACTTATAGATCAAATCATCATGCACCGAGTTGTATGAGTGAATGATTCTCTGAATGAGTGAATGACCAGTTGACTGAGTAAATGACCCTCTGAATGAGTATATGACACATTAAATGAGTAAATGAAATTGACTTAGTAAATGAATCTCTGAATGAGTAAATGACACACTGAGTGAGCAAATGACACCCTGAATGAGTAAATGACTCTATGACTGAGTAAATGACTCATTGACTTAGTAAATGATTCTGAATGAGAAATGGCACACTGAATGAGTAAATGACTCTTTGAATGAGTAAATGACCCATTGGCTGAGTAAATGACTCTCTGAATGAGTAAATGACACACTGAATGAGTAAATGACTCATTGAATGACTTATTGAATGAGTAAGTGACTCAGTACGGAGTAAATGACTAATTGAATGAATAAATGGACCACTGCACGAGTAAATGCATACGTGAAAGAGAAAATGGTTCACGGAATTAGAAAATGAGACAACGACTTGCTGTATGAGAGAACAAAACTCACAGATAAAAGTAAATGACTTTTCAGAATGAGTAAATGACTCACCGAAGTAAGATTATATTTTCCAACATGTAAATGAAAATTGTTAATGTTATTCTGTGACAATTTACTCAAACTATACACCTTTCAGGCTACCCCTGTCAATGATTCGATTATTCTTGTTTTAACACTGATATTACTGGGTGAAATATCAACTCAATATTTGATATACATGTATCATCAATTTTCTGAGACAATTACTAGACCTAATAATATAAGTTTGGTGTTCTGATACTTTGAATTTAATGAAATCGTATTTTTTTTAGTTTGTTTGAAATCAATTGGGTGGACCCCTACTGGAGCCGCCAATGCTGATAAACAACGTTAATATATTTTTAGGCACCGTGAATTTTTTAATTTTCTTTACACGAAACATTATAAATAATTTAGAATAATAGAAACTTAATTAAACCAGATTTCACCCAAATAAACCCTTTCAATAAATAATCAATTGAAATACTTATTTTGCTATGGTCTAGTGGTTTCTGATAAGAGTTTTTTGCTTGAATGAAAAGTCTGACCATTTATAAACCCGACACATTTATACAGTGTCCAACCAGCCATTAAACTGTTGCACGATTTCAATGACACCACCAATTTCTAAAAGAGACACCCATGATCAAAAAGAGACACCCATGATCTAAAAGAGACACCGCTGATCTAAGAGACGTCATTGATCTTAAAGAGACACCCATGATCAAAAAGAGACACCATTGATTTAAAAGAGACACCACTGATTTAAAAGAGACACCATTGATTTAAAAGAGACACCACTGATTTAAAAGAGACACCATTGATCTAAAAGACGTCAATGATCTAAAAGAGACACCACTGATTTAAAAGAGACACCATTGATCTAAAAGACGTC